CCTTCACCCACACACCCTACCAACACACTCACTCACCCTCCCCCCACCTATCATCGCCGCTTCCCCTGACTAATGAGACTTAAATATATAAAGCACAGCCTCACAAGACCATCTTCTTCTTGCCAAGATTTTCCTCATTAGAACCTCGTTACTAGCGTAGTTTTTCCGGGTGGTCGTACAGCTGGTAGACAGGGTGATTATGAGTAACTATTGTGAGTGTTTGTGAGTAGGTTTATGAGTATGTATTGTGAGGCGAAGGGGTTTATGAGTAGCATATGTAAGTGAAAGATGTTCGTGGGTGAGAGAGGGGGATTAGACGATTCCTGACCAGAAAACAGCCACCATTCTTTGTCTTCTCCTCCTGCTCGTTTTTGTCCTCTTTCCTTCTCGTGTTTTTCCTCTTCCTTATCCTCCTCTTCTCCTCCTACTCCTCCTCCACCTTTCCACCCTCCTTGTCTTTTTTTCCTTCTATTACTCCTCTCCCTCTTCTTTCTCTTTCTTCCCTTTACCTTTTTCTTCCTCCTCTCCCTGTCCTAGAAGGAGGGCGGTCGATCCATCACCAGTTGGTGCCACGCCGCGTCCTCAGGCCGGGAGACAAAGAGATCTGAGGCCCGACTTTGACGTGGTGTCGGGTGCTACCGCCGAAGCCCACAGTGGGTTAAAAGGTGGGTTACGGCGGGTCGACGGCTGTGGGTTATGGCGAGTCGTCTGTGGGTTATAATGGGGTAGAGGGGTCTAGTGTGGACTTATGGTGAGCTATAGGAGACCAGGGTGTGGTACGGGCGAGCGGGAGGGTCTAGGGTAGGGGCTGGCGAGCTACCATGGGAATAAGGTGCTGATATAATGAGCTAGAGGTGTCTAGGGTGGGCTGTAAGCGACCACGGTGGGCTGTGTAGGGAACAGTGTAGGCTGTAGGTGGTCAGGGTGGGTTGCAGAGAGTCAAGGTGGGCTGTAGAGAATTATGGTGGGCTGCAGAGGGGTAGTGTAAGTTGTAGGGTGTCAGAGTGGGCTGGTAAGGGGTCAGAGTGGTTGCAAGGGATTAAGGTGTGCTGAAATATATGATACAGTACATCCTTTTCGTCTGGCGAAAAATACTTTTATTAAACAATAATTATTACCATAAAAATTACGAGCATATATATTTTTGTTTAAGAGTGTTATGAGGAAATTGATTCTATTTTCACACTTTCACAAAATTTCTTTAATATCTTTAGGAAGTCTATCGACCATGTCTATATCAAGTCTCAATCATAATCAACTAATCAACTAATACAAAGCATTAATTTGTTCGGTCTACTAATATTTACAGTTATACATTAATGCTTTTTATTTTTTTTATTTTTTTTTTTACAATATCAAAAGCAATGTTTGCTATTATTCTTTATCCTAGTTATTGTGTGTTAATGTTTTTTAGGGTAATATTTGTCGAATATTTCAAGTCGATCGCTCACCCCTCCTTAATTTTCTTATAAGTACGATATGGATAATCTGATTTTAGTACTATATCTTTAGCCCCTGAGTACGATAAATAAGCCCAGTGATTACGATGGCTTAATCTCTTGAGTACAATACCAAACCCATGGAGACAATGACGTAACCTAATGAGTAAAATGAAATCATCCCTAGAGTACTGTCTCAATAAGCCTTGGAACATGATGCCCTAAACCTCTAAGGCAGATAACACTGTTCATGGGCTACCTTATCGTTATCAATAGGTTAAATGGCGTTGTTTATGCGCACAGCTCCCGCGATCAGGTCAGAGGAATTTACCGATAGTGTTATATCACATAAAGGAAGATGTTTAACAGTAATTATCAGAAAATAAAGTGTTTAATCTCATAAATACATTCAGTATAAGGTGAATGCGTTTATTAATCACCTTATCCCTTTATCCATGGTATTCGTAAAAGCCATATATGATAAAGGAAGTGTATTTTATATTATACCGCAACTGTTCTGTGGGATTGTTGTATTCGACTTGAGTTTCTAAGTAATACAATACGTGAATTTATATATCATATGCTGAAAACGAGTTGATGGAACCAAAAATGAATTAGCAGAGTTGAGAGAGATACATTTTTTTTGTTTTATTATGAAATTGACAGTTATTGGACGATAAACTGTAATTAAATTAGTCGGTGAAAAGGATATCAGTGAGTGTTGAAACTTGGTGCTCTAATCATGCGGTATTATGGATTTGTATACATGGGTCGTATTTACACTTATTCCTGTATGAAATTGTTATATAGTTTCAAATTCAATCTGAAGCTCAGGATATAATTTTAACCTTACGCCTCTACTGCTGCCACAGATAACGTGACGTCACTAATGGTTGCGTTGAGTGACCTGATACAACAACTGCAGACCACGCCCCCACGCCCTTCCACGTGGGTGCCAGACGCTTGAGCTCATCACTCACATGTCATTAATTACTGACAGTCGAGGCTATTAAGGCACGTGACACCTCTCTCATTAATACTGATACGATGCTCAAGTTACAGAGAAAAAACACCGAAGTTCTTTGTTTTTTGTGGTGATCAAACCGATATACACGAAGATATGATTATTATGACATCTAAATGGCTCAAGTTATCACCAAGTATGAAAGGTTAACCTCTACTAAGTTAACAGTCTCAGGCGTCTCGTAAATAACATGAATTATCAGAGAAAAAAGAAGGTCGCAGTAATACCACAACTAATTATAATTCTCAATGTTGAAATTATGTTCTTTTAGATCACCTTAACAAAAGATTTGAGTTGTATCAAAAGGTAAATATCTCAATAGTGTTATTCAGGTACTCAAGGAGGGGGGGTGGATGGTATGATGGGCGTCTCCTACCCCCCCAACGTTAAAAAATTAGGTTGCCATTAAGAACTCACTTTATACCGCTTAATTAAGATGACAATATGTGTACGCGTATCTTCCTACTTTTGGCCATACTATCAAGTTACCTCTAATTTGTTCTCGTAAAACAGTGGATTTGTTTGTTAACGCTTTCAAAAAAATACGACATATTATTCTAAGTTGTTATCTATTTTGGTGCTTTATATACCGTGGTTACATTACATTATATACAACACAACAATCCCTTAAAACCCTTTGCTTAATTCTGGCTTCGAATACAAGAAAATGACAATCAGATTATCCATGTTTTCACACTCAGATTAAACGAACATTGAAGATTGAGCAAAAAGAGGAATGTAATTTTATAAAGAACATAAATAAATTAATCATTCATACGAACCTTAACAATTGACAGAATATGTAAACAGCATTAGGGTACTGTGACGCGTCTGTTATTTGCGTGTTCAATGGGGAATTTCCTCTCCTCTGACACCAAGGGGAAGAGGAGGGGAGTGAAGGGGAAGAGGAGGGGGGGTGACGGGGAAGAGGAGGGGAGGAAGGGAAACAAGGAAAAGGGTGATAGACAAAGAAAATGGGGAGGGGGGACACGAAGGAGAGGATAGGACAAGGGAAGAATGATAATGTAGATGGAAGGAACGAGGATAATGAAATAATAAAAATATAAGAATAGAGAGGGGGTGACAGGTGAGAAGAGAGGAAGAAACGGAGGAAGAGGAGAGGGAGAATAATGATGTGAAGAGAGGGAAGACAGGATAAACAAGAGGAAAGGAAACAAAGAGAAAAAAAGAAAGTAGCAAATTGGAAAGAAGGAAAAAGACATGTAGAAAGTGGGGACTGAAAAGCAAAAAAGGCAGTGTAAAAACAAGAGGGAAATGGGAGAAGGAGAATAATGATGAATGGAGGGAGGAAACGGAGGTGGAAGAGAATCATATAAGAAGGGGGAGAAGAGTAGACAAGGATGCTCAATTCCACCGTCAATGAAAAGGAGAGAGAGAGAGAGGGGGGGGGGGGTATGCAAGAAGATTCAATTCCCTCGTAAACTCACTAAACACATATCAACAAGACGGGTTAGAGACACTCACTATACACTTCCACGATCCACAACACAAAGCATTGACTTAAGTGCATCCATTCCTTAAGTGTGTCTTCTAAAGTTTTCATTATCTTGGCTGAGTCTCTAAATACCTGTAGTTCTCTTGAAAAGCTCCTGATAAACATATTTTTAACTGACTACACCTCTAGGTATCTCAACCGCACTCAATAACACTAGGCCAAAATGTATATACCTATGAGACGAGCCCACGACACTTTATACCTGTGTGTGTGTGTGTAACTTCTGACACCAAGGAAGTCTTCACACACACCTTTAAAGTAAGAATAAGGTAACTGATGAGACAATTATTTCGATATATTTCAAATGATCACAGATTATATATTAAACTATTAGGGATCATATGCGTCTAAGACTTTCGTGGTACAAAATTATAAGATAGGTTATCCGGCTTCGCTCAGATGAAGGAATAGGAGTTAGTGTACGAATATCCCTTAGGCCACCCGCACATCCCTACCAAATTTCAGCTCTCTATCTCCAAATCTATGGAAATTCATAAAGAGCACACACAAGCACGTGCACACGCAAACGCAACGTATTGTATAATGATGCGGTGGTCAATGAGAGGGAGAAAGCATCACCAACGATCATAATAATAATAATGATATAGAGGCGTCATACATCTCAGACACCGAGCGTGTGTCCTGAGTGTGGTGTGAGGTGGGCGGGGCCTTGTCCACTAAGCCCCGCCCACCTCCTCTGCTTGGTGTCACTCGGAGTGTTTTTCCTGTGTTCCGACTCGCTTCCGTGCCCCCCAGGCGTGGCCACCAGAGCCCAACTGTTGATTATAAATTAGTTTTTGAGGACGATTCTGTGACAATATACTTGAGATAATATATTACCTGTGCTTATATAATCAACCTTGACCCCAAGAACCAGTGAGGAACCTGAGATGAATTCGAATTTAAGGCGTAGTAAGAAGTAAACACAATTAGTGAAGATTGTCAGTGGCGGGGTGCCCTCCTCCTCCTCCTCCTCCTCCTACCCGGGGCGTGATGCCCTGGCACACAGAGGCACCTCACTCACACACCCGGAGTGCCACTCTGGTTGTCTCTGTGTCGTGTCGTCGTTCACCAGTGCCACGTCGCTCAGCTCCAATACTTGAGCCCTGGCGGAGTGGCCGACGTATGTTCCTGCGACTTTATATGAAAGCAAAAACTCAGAGGAAGAGCAAATTTTGGACGATAGTATGTGTGGTGCGGCGACTCCGTGACTCGGCGAGATGGACATTGTACATGATATATAAGTGACACGTTTTACCAAGGAATAGGTCAACACACTGTTAAAAGAGTTTGTTGATACTGACTCGTGAGCGATCTACGAATAAAAAACTGACTGTATTGTAAGACTGATAAAGGTTTGGCACTTAAACTATATGTGCCAACTATTTCCCAAAGTGTCATCTTATTTCAACGTGGCATTGGCACCCACTAAGACTAAGTGACAAGAGGCTATGATAAGTAAGGTGACCTGATGACCCCTCCTGAGGTCACATCCCTTTAACAGTGAAGACACACGAGCTGTCATGTTGACCTCACAGTGATATTTGACCTGTTTTCAAGGATCCGTCAATAAACATTAATGTGACCGTGTGTCAGTATATTTCATAACAGAACGAATTTGTGGAATCGTATACAGTTCTGTCATATATATTCCACAGATTCCCCAACCAGTTGAAAAATACATACCGGTAATATTTTTCTTCCGGTAATATAGTTTAAGATGTCATCGTCGCCCCCTCCCCGCCTCACCATGGCCAGTGACTCGTTCTCCATCGAATCTCTCTTAGCCTCCCGCAGGCCCTCGTCTCAGCCTCCACCACACAGCCTCACCCCTCACCCCTCTCCTCCACTATCTGCACTCATCCCAGCCCTCACGCCAGCCCTCACGCCAGCCCTCACACCGGACTCTCAATCTCATCTCGACTCACATCCCCAGCTCATCGGATGCCCCAAACCCAACATTCGACGAGATGCTTCGCCCCAGCCCTCAGACTTAACCACCCCGATCTTTCTGACCAACCTAAGAGCCAGCTCCGAACCTCCTAGGGCTACAGCCAGGGTGGAGGGCCACACCACGACGGGGGAGGACGGGGAATTGGAGGAGGATGTGGAGGATGAGCTGAGAGAATGCGACGAGGGGGAAGACGATGTGGTGGTTGACGATGGTGGCAGTTCTCACTCTATGGAGGGTGAGGGAGGGGTGTCTACCTCGTCTTCCAGGTGTGATCCTCAGCACAGCGATGCAGGTAAGTAAGATATAAATAGAAAAGGGGAGAACGAGAGAGAGAGAGAGAGAGAGAGAGAGAGAGAGAGAGAGAGAGAGCATACAACAACACTCAACCTATCACTAATTAGGAACATTACAAACTATTTTCAACACATTAAACATAAGATTAAAATACAACACCACAGAGGAACAGGTAAATATAGTCATCTACTCACCTGGTGATACTGAACCCAAGAAAACATTAATACTCATTAAATTCACCGGGCTTACCTAAGTACCAATTTAACGTCTCGCCAATTAAGTTCAACTGGTCTTCAACAAAGCTTATTGGGGGAGGGGGGGGGGGAGCGGTAATCATTGTTTAACGATGGAGATCAATGAAATGCGAGTTACGCGTTCATTTTCTGAGACCTAGTGATAGTGAGTTGCTCCGACGGTCCCGATTATTTAGCTCTTATGGCTGTATATAATCTATTTGGGTGCCTTAATTTTTAGGTTAGGTTAGGTTAGGTTAGGTTAGGACCATGGTCTTTAGGCACCGTTCACCAAGTCTTAAATTTTAGGTAATTCAACGGACAAGGTCTTTTATCACTAAAATTTCAATATATTCCCAGTTTTGGTATAACCTCCATAGCCAGGACACTATGATAAATGTATAAGTGAAAAATATACCTAATATGCGTTAGGATATATAATTGCCTACTAGTTTGTATATTCGTTGGTAGGTATACTTTTTATGTGATATTTTCCCCAATTGTTCTGTATATTCAATGATAAATATATTACTTGTTATACTATATTTCATTTATGGTCCATATATTCATCGGGAAATATACCATTAGCGATATATATCCATGGTACTTCGTATATTCATGGGTAAATATACTTCTTGGAGATATACTCTTCTTAGTGGATACTATATTCATCGAGAAATATATCCGTCTATGAGTATACCTGATCATAATCAAAACAGCAGCTATATATAAAATATATCGATGGAAAATATATTAAATATATAACCAATTCGAAACATACTTATAAGAAATATATTTGATACATGATATAGGTATTATATATTATAAAATATAATACACGATATACACGGAATAAGATAGCACATTTAGCCATGACGCTTTAAAATCTATTAGAAATATACCCGACTATACCTGATAAGAAATATACTCAGCAGGAAAAATACCCGTTAAAGAATATATCCTACAGGAATTATATCAACTACACACCTGGAGGTATAATTAAGCGAGAGGGAGTATGATAAAGAGGAATTATAGATTATGGGAAATATTATCGATGAGAAATATAACCGACAGATAAGTTACCTGATAGTCAAGATATCCGGAAGGATGACACCTACCCGACGGGGAATAGATAGCATTGGAAATTTAGCCGACGGGAAATAATATCGAAAATAAGTAATACTGTATTCATAAAAATATTATCTTTGCTGAATTGATGTGGTGGATAATAATAATAATAATAATAATAATAATAATAATAATAATAATAATAATAATAATAATAATAACAATAATAATAATAATAATAATAATAATAATAATAACAATAATAATAATAATAACAATAACAATAACAATAATAATAATAATAATAATAATAATAATAATAATAACTATAACAAGAACAACAAAAGCACAAGAACAAAAAATATATAAGTATATACCCGCTGAAGATATACCCGACTGAAAATTATACTTAGCAATAAAATAAACTTTACGAACAAGAGTCTTATGACCCAGAAATGACCTCATTTAACAGAAAAAACAACCACGCTCGGGAAGAACGTCCATCAGTTTAATCAGTAAAGACGGACAATGGGTGAATAAAAGCAGCCACATCGTACACAAACTGACCTAAGGATGAATTTTATAATCAGTAACACGATAGGTTAAAGAACTTAGTGAAGTAGGGGGGATATGTGAAAGGGGAATTATGGAGGAAGTTAGTATAATTATGTTCTTACTACCTACCCTCTTCCCATTCTTATTCTTCTCTAACCCTTAATTCCTCTTCCCTTCTCTTCCTCTTCACACTCTCTTTCTCTCTCTTGTACACACTGCTCATTCTTCTCCCACACTCAATCCTCACTTCTTCCTTCTCTCCCACACTTCTTTCTCACCATCTTTCCTCACACGCACTCGCGCACGCACGTATCATTATTAATTAACGGTTGCCCCTCGTGTTCGAGGATGGTCCAACATCCTAAGTTAAAGAGCTGCATGACCCAGTGTCAAGGAATAGTCCGAGAAGACCGGACAATTCGCCAATTGCACTGGCTAACCATTACCTAGGAACACAATCCGCAAATCGATTAACATCCAGGTTCCCAATTACTGCTGAGTAGACACAGGCAAATGGCGTAAAGAAACTTGCCTATAGTTTCACACCTGCACATATACACATAAATACATACACTTCTTCATCCCTCCTTTTTTTCCTTTTCTCTCACACTCGCTTTCCTCCTCCCCCCTCTCTCTCTGTTAACGGTGACAACCCGTCTCTCAACGGGTGGGTGAAAGAATACTATGCAACAGTTTCTGTCATGCTAATATAGTCTTAGCATACAAGTATGTGACACCTACACTCCCTGAATTATTATTATTATTATTATTATTATTATTATTATTATTATTATTATTATCAGTATTCTTATTATAATTATTATTATTATATTAGTAGTATTGTTGTTATTATTATTATTATTATTATCTTTATTCTTCCTCGTAATATTTTTTCATCAGAATTTTTAATTGCATCAGTTACCTCACGTAAGTAACAATGAAGCTAATTTTACACCGTGTAATAATATTAACTAAACCACATTGAAATGTCACTTATGCAAAACAACTGTACATCTCCGTCGGTCACTGGGCAGCCACAGTTCTCCGTCAGCGCTAAGTTGGCAACGCAGCTCCTCTCTACTCCTCTTTAATGAATGAAACAAAAGTATCAAAGCATCGTTCACTGAATTTTACACCTAATTTGAATAAACAAACTCCCATATATGAAGAAAAAATCATCAATGAATTCAGAAAAGCTGGGGAATTGGTTGACTATAGATAATAAAGAATATTTTTCTTTTTTTAACTACGGTATAATAAAAAAAATTATTATTGTGTTTTTTGTTTGATTATTATTTTTTTATGGTGATTTTTATATATGAAACGAAAATTCGCTCAGACATTATCAAGTTTCTGTGTGCTTCGTGTGTGTGTGTGTGTGTGGTCACGCGCGTGTGTATATGTGTATCCCGTCCGTGTGGATCTTATGGAAGGAATGGATTCTTACTACATCAATCATTCATACAATATTATATAAACTGTGTAGTATCAGAGGCTGGATGTGATTGTTTATATATTCGGATCACACTTTAACCCCTGAGAGTCCAAGTAGGAAAACGGAATTGAATGAATGATTATGAACATTAGCGCCGGGAAATCGGAATAATCGCCGAGAGAAATAAACCAATCAAATACTGTATATACTTGTCTTAATTTGATACTGATTTAACCCCCCAAAATGCGATTATTAGTTTAGAATTGTTCATAGTAAAAAAATATAGTTAATTGCAATAGGTATTCACTAATTGTTGGTAAAATTAGTGGGATTAATATAAATGGTGTAATTATCACATATGTTGCCCAAGAAGGTATGTTGAGTATGTTCTCGTATATAAATAATCAATTATTATGTTTGGAGGGAATCTTTAGTCTGTAATTTTTTTTAAGGAAGTTCATTGTCAGAATAAAATTTTAGTCTATACTTATCACTGGAAACAGAAAGACAACTAGCTAGAATAGAAAAGATGCAATAATAATAATAATAATAATAATAATAATAATAATAATAATAATAATAATAATAATAATAATAATAATAATAATAATAATAATAATAATAATAATAATAATAATAATAATAATAATAATAATAATAATAATAACACCAGGAGTCGAATTGATGAGCCTTCTGACAACTCCAGCTGTCTTGAAAAACATATGATAATCATAAGACCTCTATCTCAATAAATGAATAAGTAACAAAATATCATCTGGTCTTAGTTACCATATTTTTTCTTGTTTTATTATATTTTGCACTTTATTATTATTATTATTATTATTATTATTATTATTATTATTATTGTTATTATTATTATTATTATTATTATTATTATTATTATTATTATTGTTGGTATCATGTCTGTGCCTCTTGACATTGTGACCGCGATTGCAGTGACAGCGATGTGTTGTTGGTTCGTATCCCTGCCGTGGTAAAACTTCCTTACACCATTTAAATTAACCTTTTGTTTTAAAATAATATTGCAAGCTTCATGATAACTGCTATATTTCACATGTGTTGAAATTTATTTGCAATATTCAACGCCGTATAGCAACAAGTGTTATATTCCTCTCTCGCCACGTTGAGAAGTGTGCGCGCCAGCGTTAACTACATCACAGTGTTCAAAACTATTTCTACATCAGCGTTAAAATACTCTTGTAACGCGGCTTCTTCACGAGTCTTAACATTACCGGTATTGCCTGAAATTAACAAAGGTGTGTTCATATGTGAGAAATTTAAATAATAAAATTCAAGTTCGTAGGTCGATTTGAGTTTGTCAGGAAAATAATCATTCATAATTGCTTTCTTGTCTACGTGTTAAGCCTTAAAAAGCAACTGATATTTTTTTTGCCTAATTGGAGTAAGTTATTGTCTTAATTCGCATATGGTAAAATTTGCTCTGTTTCTTTTAAGTTGTCGTTTATTATAGCAGAAATAGGAAAATTATACCTAAAATTGTCTAGGTAAGGTTAGGTTAGGTTTTTTTTATGAAACTATACATTTGTGTGTATTTTGAAGACCTCTATGATCGTCTATAGTCAGACAGTAAGTTCCAAAGGCTAGAAGTACATGGAAGTTATCTCTATTCAGCAATTATCCTTATTTAGCTTAACACACACACACACACACACACACTTCCAATCAATTAAATCCTGCCAAACTATAGACATAATCACTATATAGCGTATGACTGAGGAGACGAACTTCAACTCTCGGTGGTGACGCTTGACCCAGGTCACCCCAGGTCACACTCGCTGACCTGTTGACCTGCGGGTTCGGATGACGGCGCCACGGTGACACACACTGTTATTAATTACCATCTAAGGAGGCTATTAGCAGTCAGGCGGCTTAACCCCCGCTGGTCTATCTCGGGGTGGTGGGTATTTCCTCCTCCCCGCCCATATACTCCCGCCCACACCCCCGCCCACACCCCTGCCTACACCCATGCCTACATCCCCACCCACATCCTCCCCTACGCCCCTACCCACATTCTCGCTTATGACTCACTCACATCCCATTCAGATCTCATACATAACACACCCCGCCCACCACCCAGTCACACCCAACCCCACATCCTGCCCCACACACCGCCATACTTTGCCTTACACATCCCACCCACACTGTCAACCCACCCTCAGAACACCCTGCCCACTATTACTGGGACACCTGCCCACCCCCTTGGGACACCCCGCCCACTCACACTGAACACCCCTGCCCACTCCCTCTGTAGCCACCCCTGCCCACCCTCTTTGTAACACCCTGCCCACTACACTGGGTCACCCCGCCCACTCACACTGACACCCCTGCCCACCCCTGTAACACCCCGCCCACCACATTGGGAACACCCCTGCCCACTCACACACATTCTGCCCACTCACACATCAGACACCTGCCCACCCCTCTAACACCTCACTCCACCTTGGGACACCCCGCCCACTCACACTGTAGAATACCCTGCCCACCCCTTCAGACAGCCCTGCCCACCCTCTGTATCACCTCGCCCACCTCACACCTTTCTGCCCACTCACACTGTATCACCCCGCCCACCCCCTCTGTAACACCCCACCCACCCACACTGTAACACCCCGCCCACCCACACTGTAACCGAGTGGGAAGGATAAGTGAGTAAAACGAATGTTAAGTGGGAGGGGATAGGCGTTGGATACAGCATTGAGTGGGCGGGGATGGGTGGCGGGTATAGCGATATTGAGTGGGTGGGTGGGGACGGGAGGCGGGTATAGCAGTTTTGGGTGGGCGGGGATTCGCAGCGGGTACAGCATTGAGTGGGCGGGGATGGGTGGTGGGTATAACAGTTGTGGGTGGGCGGATATGGGCGGCGGGTAAAATAGTGTTGGGTGCATAATGGTATAGCATTGAGTGGAAGCAGGGATGGGCGTAGGTATAGCGATGAGTGGGCGGGGATGGATGAGTATAGCAATAATGGTGGGCGGGGATGAGCGTAGGTATGGCATTAATTGAGCGGGGATGGCGGCAGGTATAGCAATACTGAGCGGGCGGGGATAGGCCAGCAGGTATATAGCATTGGTGGGCGGGAATGGGCGGCGGGTGCTTAATAATGGTGGGCAGGGGATGGACGCGGGCATAGCATTGAGTGGACAGGGGATGGGCGGGTATAACTGTATTAATGGGTGGGCGGGGTGGGCAGGTATATGAGTGTGAGGATAGGTGTATCAATATAGAGAATTTAGGTTGGGATGACATGAGTATAGTAATATTAATTAGGCAGGGATGGGCTGCGGAATTTTGGCAATGCAGCAAGGGATGGGTGTAATATTGGTGATTTGGGATGGGCGTGATGCAATTGGTGGGCAGGGATGGGCATGTGTAGGTGGGTGTATCTTCAGATGGGTGTAATGGTGGGCAGGGGATGGGTGTGGAATTATAGCAATGTGTGGGTGGGCAGGATGGGCTGTGGGTATAGCAATGTGGAGCAGGGGCCGAGAGATGGGCGGGTACAGCGTGATGGGCAGGGATAGGCTGGGTGTAAGTAATGTGGAGTGGGCAGGATGGGGGGGCACAGCAATACTGAGTGGGCAGGGGATGGGCAGGTCAAACTGAGCAGTGCTGGTGTTGGGCGGGGATGGGCCAGGTATACTAATTAGGCAGGGAGGATGGGCGGGTATAGCAATTGGGGATGGGCGTGGGTATAGCAAGGTCAGGCAGACGGGGATGGGCGTGCCTGTGTTAATGTGGGGCGGGGATGGGCGGCGGGTATAGCAATGCTGGTGGGCGGGGATGGAAGAAGCGCAGATTATACTTGTGCAACCAGGCAGGCAGGGATGGGGGCGGGTATAGCATTGAGTGGGAGGGGATGGGCGGCAGGTATAGCAATATTGGGTGGGCGGGGATGGGCGGCAGGTATAGCATTAAGTGGGCGGGGATGGGTGGCAGGTGTGGTTTTGTCGAGTGTCAGGAGGATGCACAATTGCACATCACTCCAACACACCTAAAACGTCATACATGTTTTAAGGTTAAGGTTAGAGATAAAAAAAAAACCCGACGTGGTGTTGTTTTTTTTAAGTACATATTAACGTCTAATTACACCCCCACACGCCCACACCCCCACTCACAACTATGAACCCTCCATCGTCAAAAATTATGTCAAGAATTCTCCTACATTTATGATTCAAGATTAGAAAAGATAATGTTTGTAATATTTTCTCATTGTTCTTTTAGCTTCTATGTTTCTATTTTACATTTTATAATTTGTTTTGGTCTTATGCATCTTATCTTTATATACAACCCGATAAAGTATAGGGTGGAGGGCTATGGTCACCAACCCTCAGAACATGATTATGGCGACACCCTGATTTATTGATTGATATTAACCTTAATTATGTCCATTATTTCGCATCTATTGACATTCTTCTCCCCTCACCCCACCCCCCATCAGAGGACTCCCGGACGAGTGAGGAACGCAAGAAGCGGCCTCGCACCGCCTTCACAGCCTCACAGATCAAGGCACTGGAGCAGGAGTTTGAGAAGAATAAGTACCTGTCCGTCAGCAAGCGACTCCAACTCTCCAAGCAGTTGAAACTCACCGAGACGCAAGTGAGCTTGTGTGAGAGAAGAGAGAGAGAGAGAGAGAGAGAGAGAGAGAGAGAGAGAGTTCATAATACAGTACAAAAAACAGGCCAACCTCCCGCTTTGAATACGAGGACCCTAAACCTAATTGTTTGAGTACGAGATCTTCACCCCTCGAGTGTATGACTTAACCCCTATAGTACTATAATCTAATCTCGTGAGTACGATACCCTCAACCCCTTGATTACGTATATCCCGGCCACTGGAGTACAGAATCTTAACTTCTGAAGTAAGAAGTCGCATTTACCGATTTTCAAGTGAATTGAGCTTTGGTTATCAAGTGATTAGGGAAGGTAAATGTGATTTAAATGGAACAGAAGGGAATATGGAGACACGTGTAAGGAGAATAGGGATGGAAGCTTGTGTTTTTACATTCCTTAAGATTATCATAGTTTCTTGTACAACACGACACCTTATATATTACCAATTGATTTGTACACTACCATGATATACCAGTCAAATACTACATGAATAAACGAAGTAAAATAAAAGAATAATTCTCCCATTTAATCAACTAATTCAACATTCCCTTACCCAGATCAAGATATGGTTCCAGAATCGACGGACGAAATGGAAGAGGAAGTACACAAACGACTTAGAACTGATGGCACAACAGTATTACTCCGCTCTGGGGGTCCTCAGCCCACGGCCCATGGTGGTCGGTGATAGACTGTGGTGAGTCTATCCAGCGATGTAACCTGAGTTCTACTGTAAGAGAGTGTTGATAATAACTACATACTAATTAATGTGTTTTGGCTGCAATCAACTCCGAGTTTAATTATTTTTTTTTTAGTAACAAAGTATATCTCCTCACCACTTTCCAGTAACACAACACCGGAAATACACCAGAAATATATCAGAAGCTGTAATGTACACATACAAATCAACGTAAACAATAATCACCTCTGAGTGACGGGTACAGAGTTGCCAACTTAGCGACTTTGTAGCTAGATCTAGAGCTTTTAGTTTTGTTCTAGCGACATTTTAGAGCGATTTGCGACTTGTCGCAAATCTAGAGATATCCACAGAAATCTAGCGACTTTCTGGATACTTTTGGACTGTCCATGAAAACTCAGTTTTCCTAATTTCGAGCCATAATATATAGCAACGGGGTTACAGGGACAATAAATAATAAGAAAAGTTTAATACATTTGAACGGGTCGTGGTACAGAAGGAGGGACACGTCTATTTCCTGATCACTTGATGTCAGCCCGTCCATGGCTAATGTTGCCGTGTCGTCATTTATTTGTCTATTACCTTCGCCTTTGTAGCACCTGGGTAACTTACCTCTTTGTCAGATATGCAATATGAATTTCATTAATACGCTAAATTTTAAAGAATATTAGCAAAACATCTTATAGAATTAATTCTATCAAGCCTGCGTGGTTCCAAACTTCTCATACGCGTCCACCATGGGTGACCCATAGACTCCATACAGTTGCCCCGACACTGTTCACCCGCTTTGCCAAAAACCATCAAGGAAAGTTTCCGCTTGTTTGCATGCTGTTTATTAATTTGAACCCTTCATAGTCCCAATAGAAAATGGGTAAGCCACAGTATTCGCAGCGATTTAGGAAGGAATGGCTCAGAGATGACAGATACAAAAATTGGCTTCTGGAGGTGCCAGGAGATAATAAAAAAGGATTTTGTAAATTTTGCAAGTGTACTTTGTCTGCCAAGTTGTGCGACATTGAAAAACACAAAAACACTAAAAAACACAAGAAAGCAGAAGAGCCGTTTAGTGCAGAAAGACAGACAATTTTACCATTCAAGAAACTTGGGAATAATAGCTAGCGACTTTCCATGGAAGATTTAGCGACATTTAGCTACTTTTAGGTACCAGCCTAGCGACATTTGAAAATCCGAGTTGGCAACACTGGACGGGTATCGAACCTGTACCACCACGATTGGTCGGCTGGAAACTTATCCATTTGACCACGAAGGGTTAAAAACCTTCCCCACCTTAACTACTCTGTTACAGCTCAGTTTCCCAGCACTCAGAGGTGATTATTGTTTACTTTCATGAGCAATCTACTTTAATAAACTCATACCACATGTTTATACAGTACTAGAAGCAAGACCTCACGCAGCTGCTCAGAGGTTGTGTAAATGGATGAACAAAACACACGTGGATGACGTATATGTTAAGGTAGAACCTGCTGGTGTTACTGTAACCTAAAAGCATCCCTTCGTTTCCACAGGCTCTTCAACTACTCCATGGGACACCCAAATCAGCACACAGTGGGTCTCCACGGCAGCGGCCTGCCCCTTCTCCCTTCACCTCTCCCCTCACACGCCCTGCCTCACCTCCCGCCCCAATGCCTCCCCTCACTGCCTCTTCCGTCCTCATTGGTGGCCTCCTCTTGTGAACGACCAATCATACACCCAAGTCCAATTAACCCTTTGGCTGACCGCCACTTGGTTGGTGAAACACACGGTTTGCCTCCGAGTTCGTTGTCTCCCATTGGCTCCGGGTCACTGCCCACTCTTACGTCATCGATGTACACACACGGCTCCACCAATCACCTCTCGGCCCTCACCTCACTCCATAACACTATCAACAACCTCGGACATTCAAGCCAACAGGAAAACCGGTCTGGAGTATAGAACCACCAAGTCCACACAAGGATAAAATTATAGTTAATTACACATAATTTATAGTTATTAACTTTTCAGATATACAACTGATTGTAATGATTGTCTTCCATTGTTTTGGAATATTATGAAATTAAAAACTGATTGGGAAAAAAGGTGTTTGTGAAGCTTCCAACTGGCAACATCATGTCAACGGATAACATTTGTTGCTGAAGTTGTTGGCGAGCTACATCACCAGTGAAGGATATTCTAACGTAAGGCTTAATTTGTGCGAGATAATTCCACCCATTTCTCTAATAAAGATAATTACGAGATATTATGTAGTTTGATATACCAAACCTAACCTAATCTAACCACCCTTCCCAGAGGTGAATTATTATATTTGTATAAACAAAAACTATCAATACACATACACTGGAGTTTTATCTATAACTAAGTGATTTCTAGTAATAATTTTGTCTATATTTAACTGTTAAAATTAGACCCAATACAGGGTGATTCTTAATTGCGTACAGTAAATTGCAGAGTGTATATCAAACTGTCGGAATCAGCAAAGTTTCGTAGCTACAGCACTTGAAAGGTTGAGGTGATGATAATGAGGTTTGTGAAACAGTCAGATTTTTGTGTCATTTTATGCACGCAACTCTACACAATAAGATATAGAGGCAGAGGGAAGGGGGGATTTTAACATATAACGTAATAACGCAACTGCAGCACTTTTCATCATTTATCAAGTAATTTCGTATAGGCTCAGTACTTATAGCACATAGACAATGCAGGTATACAAACAACGGCAAACAGTAAGCTGGATCAACCACGGATACCCCCCCCCAAAACAAAAAATTATATATATATCCTCTTCCCCACTGATCGGCTCGTTAGCCGCTTGGGCAATCGGTCACGTCTCTTATGCACTGTTGGTAAGTACTGGGCATGTACCGGCTCCTGAATGTACCTTAACCTGCTCCAGTGTTGGTCAAGTCTGGTCTTGAAAGAGCTCACACTCGGTGCCGTCACAATATTTTCTGGCAGATTGTTCCAAGAGTTCACAACTCTGACTAAAATTTTTACGGGTATAGGGTTGGGGTGACTGATCAGATAACAAAGAATTTACTATATAAATAAATATATTTGACAATACAGAGGTAACAAAAAATATTACCTTGCACTTACATTAAATCAATTTAGAATTTTCAATCTTTTCCGCAGTGTAAAACTCATAAGTCAGTAAGACGAAAGAAAATTATCTAATTGACACAGATCCCCCCACAACTGTTCAGAAAATAGCAGCATCCCTCTCCTTAACACTCGTTAAAATGTGTTGCTGGGTAGTATCGGCATAATCCCCATACTGGGATTGTGACAGCACGACACAAAATTGTCGACTTAGGGTGATAACTGATAAAGTCTCCCTTAAAATATTGGCAACATTTTCTATGAACCAGTTAGCTGCTTGACTGCCTCTGAATGCCCTTTGCTAGGGGACACTTTAGAAGTTTATATACGTTCGCTTCCACCCGGTTATTTGTCAGTGATTACACAGGAAATAGCATTCGTCCGATATCACAATGTTCATGGGTTACAAATCTAAAATATTGCAGAACTATCAAGAATATTTCTGAATTAGGCAATAGAGAAGCAGACGATTAACACAAAAAGGACTTTATGGAATTCGTTCATATTTTTCACAGGTGTTGTTTGGATGAAAGTAAGTAATAAAAATGACAACAACTTATTCCTTTAATTTTAAGTAGTTTTTTACGTTTTCCTCTATCTACCTGTTATTCACTTGTAATGGGAAAGGCATGAAAGATGAGGGAAATTACGGGGTAAAATAAGGCGAAAAACTTATCAAATAATGAATGACTAAATTTTATTTGAAAATGGCATAACAAAGATTTATCCATCATAAATTTTAAGATATATTTATCCAAGAAGCAGCTTGCCAAAATCTCAGTCATGTGTTGAGGCATGAACAAAACCAATGATTAGCACTTGGAGGGAGAGGGTTGAGCCGAATTTATTTATCTAACTTTTCGGGTTACACAGAACTCATCTTCAGAACAATACTGCCAGTGTAGGAAGGTAGGATGATACCAGGACCGCAGCCACACCCTCCAGTGGATGATACCAGGACCCCAGCCATACACCTCCAGTGGATGATACCAGGCCCTCAGTCAAGCACCCTCCAGTGGATGATACCAGGCCCTCAGTCAAGCACCCTCCAGTGAATGATACCAGGACCCCAGCCATACACCTCCAGTGGATGATACCAGGCCCTCAGTCAAGCACCCTCCAGTGGATGATACCAGGCCCTCAGTCAAGCACCCTCCAGTGAATGATACCAGGACCCCAGCCACACACCCTCCAGGGGGTAATATCATCATCATTACTGCTCTACTTATTATAACATAATCGACTCTGTTTCTAGCCTTTCCACCCCATCACAAGCCTGAGAGTTCTGGAGACGTGCTTGTCTCTAGAATCTCTGGTAGATAGCATGCATGTGTATCATAGATAAGCTCCACATTTTACAAACTTCTTGACTTTTTAGCGCCCACCATGACTACCTTAGAATATTTATTTCAATATTTCATTGACTTCAATATCAAACTTGATACGTCTGACATAAGAGAGAGAGAAAAATACCAGTAACTATTCTAGGCAGACGAGGACAGTAGAGACAGCAGTAGGCTCTTCCCATACCTCCAGTTCCTCCGGGAAAAATAGCGATTAAGAAACACAAAAATTTATATTTTATTAAAAATTACTTTACATTTTACCAGAAAATATCTTATTTGAAAGGCAAAACACGACATTCAAGTAAGAATGTTTTTTTTCCTTCTACTGTAATAAATACCAGCGCATGAAAGAATGAAAACCATAACAAACTGAAGGGGCGTCTGAAAGGCAGAACCAAATTACTAAAAGACGCTCTTCTCGTTCCGGGATGGATCGAGAGTGGAATGAAAACTGACTTTTCCATGTTCTGGTTCAATCTGGACCCGATCTCTGGTATCACAAGAAACATGGGAAAACATGTCGGTATTAAGAGGATGCATGATGCTTGAATGGAAAATTAATTAAACGATCATGCGAAAATGGCGTAAAGTAGTTAAAAGTTTCGGAAGTTGATATGAGTTAATATACGCAAGTTAGTATCAAGAAAATCAGGACCAAGAAAATTTCCCCAGTAACTTTATACAACAAACTTGATCCGGATCGTCAATGCAGGAGGTATCAGCAACTTACTCAGTTAGCAGAGGCACAAGACCCCTGAGCAAGTACAGAAACAATAATAACTGATATATAAAACTGACTTGGACATGCCTGAAGTGTAATGTGTTGTGGTGTTACGTTCCCTCGTGAAGCTGTTAACTTTCACCAACCTGAAAATAAAATCAGATTAACCTCCCATCACACTTTACTCCTGTAAAATTTGTCATAGATGTTAAGGAGAAAGTTGCCATTTATACCGCATCATATATTGGAAGAATCTCGAGGACGTGTTTGATTGAAAGCAAAAAAAAAAATCTATTAAGTGGGAGAGTATTCAATAATAACTATGAACCTACAGTAGCACCTTTAAAGGTGATCTTACAAAATGGCAATTGGTTGTGGGGCTATGGTGATTGGCAACAGTAACCAACCTAACCTAACCAAATCAATAGATATGTAAGATCATAAAATTTGGTTTAGCTGGTTCATTTTGTCTGTCATCATTAGTGGTTTAGACCTTCAGCCTTCCTGGGGGAGTTTTGATAAGACCTTAAAATTCTTAAGAAAACTGTATAAATTTGTTTTCTCTCTTGTTAGATAAGCATTTATGCATTACAACAAATGTGTATCCAAAAAGCTTCAGCCCTCCTACCTGCCCCCCACCAAAAGCTTCAGCCCTCCTACCTGCCCCCCACCAAAAGCTACAGCCCTCCTACCTGCCCCCCACCAAAAGCTTCAGCCCTCCCACCTGCCCCCACCAAAGCTTCAGCCCTCCTACCCCACCAAAGCTTCAGCCTCCCACCTGCCCCCACCAAAAGCTTCAGCCCTCCTACCTGCCCCCCACCAAAAGCATCAGCCCTCCTACCTGCCCCCCACCAAAAGCTTCAGCCCTCCTACCTGCCCCCCACCAAATAAAAACAAATAAGGTGGTGACCCTCTTCTTAACCATGACCAACAATTTTTCTCTTCAAATAATACGAACAACTATTACAGTATACAGTACTAACAATGTTTTTCGTTCACACCAAAATAATATAAAGATACTTGTTCATCGTGTCACAATACGAGTAGCAGAAGTAGTGCTTACCTTGCCCTGGTGGTATTTAGAGGAAGCTTTGGCATAACCCGTCATGTCTTGGACCAGGGACCATCATGCCTGAAACAATATTCATGAATGAAGCCACACTTCTGCTTTCATTTAAAACAAAATTCTATGAATAGTAACAGAACCATAAGCTTCATGCCCCTATGTAGGAGGCTGGAGGGCTGTTGATGCCAATTACCGTAACCTCTCTCCTTATTTTGATGAAGAAATTACCTGTGCAAGATTTAATTTCAATTTACTAAGGTTTGTGTACAGTCATTTAAAAAACAAATGTAAGGAAACTTCTACAGTAGGGATGCACCGAGGAGCACGGCAGTCGGGTGGATACAGTGGATACATTTAATGCTTATATTTTACGTCTGTAATTAATATAGGGAGATAATATTGTAAAGGTATGAAAGGGATTGAGTGTGTGTGTGTGTGTGTTGTGTTGTGTGTGGTCGATACGGAACATAAACTCTCTCACGAAAGACATTGATTATTACCTTATATAGTTCGTTGTGCATTACATTGGAAATACGTTATATTCGCCATTCGTCACCACGATACAATGATTACAACAAAATGCGAAATCAGAAGAAAACTTCCCATTGTCAACTGGACTGTACAGGGGTACTTAGTGGCAGCACTAGGATCCCGCTTCCGCTATCAAGGAATAAAACATTGAAACTGAATTGAATTGTCAACTGTGGCAAATGAATATGAAATGTTGCATTGGCAACTCAAGTGTTGCCACTATGTTCCTTTAAACGAAAGATGTGGGCAGGCGTCTGAAGTCTCCACCACCGCACATTATTTATTTAGAAACATATTCAACACACGTTGTTACCTTCATACTGGTTTCAAAGAATAAAATGTCTGAAATAACAACTGATTAAAAATTTAGGAAACACGCGCCATCTATTATTATTACATGTTTTATTTACTCTATTATTATGGTATAGTTAATTTATTAGTAGATTGTTCTAGCAAGCAACAAGCACATATGAATAAAGTATCACTGCAATTAACTTCAAACCTCCTCTTGTTCACACTATGGCCAGAGTTTAACATGAGCAGTATGAATGTTACCAGCATAACATAGCAGACGTGGAAAATAATAGATATGAACTTAAGCTTCAATTGAATAGTTCATCATTCACGGATAACATGAGTATAGGTAGAGGAGCACCTGCCTCCACTTCCCCCTGCTGCCCACTCTCCCACCCCACATCCTCTTTACGTCATTTTACCTCGCCATACCACAGCCCACTGGGGAAAAATACAAGCCAATAATAGTCTAATAAGTACATTTCTTATTAAACATATAAACATTCCACAAATCTTTACACTGAGATATTTGTTTTACTTTTTTTCTACTTTTATTCCACACTGTGTTTACTATTGCGAATGTAAACAGACATAGCGCTACCACACTGCACAAAACCTGACGACCCCCTGTAAATGCAAGGTGAATGGGATTGCCTAATTGAACCACTGGTACATAAAGGATTCATTCGTCCTAACTTGGAATACTGCTCTTATATCTGGGACGGCTCTTCGTCTGTCCAACTGTTAGATAGGGAGGAATCAAAGGCATTTCGCCTTATTAACTCACTCTCCTTTAGTTGATAATCTCTCTTCCCTTTCTCTTCGCCGCAATGTTGCTTCACTCTCTCTTTTACAAGTACTATAACGGGCAATGTTCGGTGGATTTGGCATCCTGTATACCGCCGACAAGGCCGTGGGCTCGTAACACTCATCTTGCCCTCAGTGCCCACCGTTCTCTGTGGATGTCGGTCACACTAGAATAACCCGTTATAATACATCAGTCTTTCCTCATACAGCCAAACTGTGGAATGCTCTGCCGTCTTCTGTGTTTCCACACTCATACAATGTCTCACTTTAAAAAGCTGGTTATCCGGCATCTTCGTGCTGTAGATTAATAAATTAGTTTTCTTTTCTATTTTTAATTTATTTTTACTCTTATTTTGCGTCCCATATAGACCCCGCTGTAGGTCGATAACATGTGCCAGGGTGGGCTAATCCCCCGAAAAAAAAATACTTCAAATAATCCTCCGAAAAATCTGCTGAGTCCGCTATGTTCAGTTTATTTACAACCGACCCTCTCGTTACAGGCATACTCTCACGTCCACAAAAAAGTAAAATTTCACCACGATGCATCAACAAAGTTGATTTCATTAGTACCAAATATCAAAAAAAGTACTTTGTTTAATATGGCGGGTGGTCCGGGGCCGGAACCCCACGGATAGTAGGTTAGGTTAGGTAAGATTCTATTATGTTCTAGTAAATGTCGTGTCTTTTAAAATACTTAATATAATCATAAGAACATCTGTGGGAAAAAGAGCGAAATTGAACAACGCCTTCTGGTGTTAGCTGTCTCCAGGATCACCCTAACTGCAGTTACAAATGTGTCTGTGGTGAGTTTACCTGACATAATCCATACCGGTACACATTCCTGAGTTTACAGTCCTTTCTATGTTTTCACTGACAGTGGGTGGACCGGGACGGCGTATTGTCAACGCACGGGCAGTAATTTTTTTTGTTGGCTAACTATAAAAATATGTCTATGTATTCCCCAGGTGAAGTCCTTGTGCAATGTTTTTGTTTTTCGTGGAGCGATCGTGGTTTGTTAAGGGTTGGGTATGCTCCAAGCCAAGACTACTGTACTTGCTCACAGTGTAGCCTCTTGTGCATTTTCATAGCACATTAACATCAATATATAAAACCCGTGTTGACCACCACTTACCTCTTGATCTAATACTGTATTCTCTCACCAACGATGGCACTTAACTGTAACACTTGTTAACACGGCAACAGCGACAACGGAACTGACCGTCATAAAACGTCTCAAAGAAAGTGTCAGAGCTTCAGGAGTCTTACTGAACCTGTCTCATTATACTGTGAGAAGATTTCAATTGTATCTCTCTCTTTGAATTTACGAAATACCTGATTCGCTGATCTAGAACCCATGTAATAGCATTTTATTGTCCAACATAAATTATTCTATGCCTATAAGAAACCTTTACTCTTCCAGTTATAAAGACTATTGTCCCATTTGAACGAGTTCCTTGTAACGAACACATATCACCACTGGTCATGAACTTCCGAAGCAACACTTCCAAACTCTGTCGTCATCAGTGTCTCAAACTATGAAGAAAATGTGACAATTTTGTTCTTATTTTCTTTTACTCAGTTTATTAACTAAAGAAACATACTACGATAAAACACAAATATATTAAATGGTTATATATCGTTAACAAGTAACAAAAGAATTTTTTTTTCAAATCAATGCTTTCGAAGACGTCCACCGGGCAGGACAACACGGATCACCACCAACAATCGCCTTATACATGATTAAATCTCGTACCTCTGGTTTATCCGGAACTAAAAATAGTTCTTCTCAATCAGATGAATAAAGTATTTGTAAACAAAAAAAGGAGCTAATAGTTCGGAAGAAGGTAGTAGTTGTACTAGTGGGGGGTTACCGCCTTGCTACTGACTAGCTAAGCTAATGGAATGTTGTTGTGCATTGGGTTATTAATTGTGTGTGATTTTTAGAGCTGGTTGGCTGGTTTGCTGCCCATTATGTAATCACTGACACTAGACAACCTACCCGAACCCATTTACAGGCATTTCGACAGCCACATTTCATATTCCGCCGACCTTTAACTATTGCTCATATTAGATATACTATTTTAAATACGTTAGGTAGTAGGCAGCTATCAAACAGGGAGGTACTATCGCCTGGGAGGATATTGGAAGCTTAGTGTGTTGTCTAATGGTAGACCCTGCTGTCATACGGCATCAAAAAAATTGTGACCCAGTCTCAGGTTGCTGAACTGACTTTCTGCCTCATTTACACACAATCGGGGCCGTCCCTAGGAGGGTGCGGGGCCCCATGTTTCTTACACAAAAAAGTATATCCACAAAACTCAAAAGGCAGGAGTCACAGCTCACAGGACAGGACACAACCTGATCTCACTGGTTACTGACCCTGGTGGACTGGCTGTGTGGAGTGCAATGGATTATGGAGTCAGATTATGCGGTCAGAGGAACCCACCCCCACCAACCCCCATGGGACTGTCGCTATGGATGGTAAGGTCACTTGTGCGATGGTGGCGTAAGCCGTCAGGCCAGATTAACCAATCAACAGGTAATGTGTCCGAGGTCACTGGGTCTAGTGCTGGGTCCCGCGGGGCCCCCACACGAGTGGGGCACTGGGCGGTCGCCCCTGTTCGCCCCCCCTAAAGGACGGGCCTGTACACAATAACAGGGTTTCAATTATTTATCTAACTTTGACAACACAGCATACTGTCCATACTGTATAGCGTTTCTCACTCAAGATTTTTTTTTCATTTTTCATTTCTTTATGGTTCTTTATTATGATTATTATTATTACAGTATTGTTATTATCATTAATTAATTAATTAATCTACGACTCTCAACACGGGTTTACAAAGGGAAAATCTTGTCTAACAAATCTGCTGACGTTTTTTAGGAAAGTCTTCGAGGTAGTAGATAATGACGAAAATTACGATGTTATTTACTTAGACTTTAGCAAAGCATTTGACAGAGTACCGCATCAGAGGCTTCTGAGAAAAATTAAGGCTCATGGTATCGAGGGGAAAGTTTTAAATTGGATAAAATCATGGCTCACCGATAGAACGCAGAGGGTCAGCGTAGATGGTGTTAAATCTGAGTGGGGCCGTGTAACCAGTGGGGTTCCCCAGGGGTCAGTACTAGGCCCACTCTTGTTCATAATCTACATAAACGATCTAGATACTGGGATCAGCAGTGACATAAGCAAGTTTGCGGATGGCACCAAAATAGGGCGACAAATTAATTCAGGGCAGGATGCAAATGCACTATAGGAGGATTTAAGTAAACTGCAGGAGTGGTCAGAAAAATAGCAAATGATATTCAACACCAGCAAGTGCAGCGTACTTACTATTGGAAGAACAAATACTTATAATGTATACAGCCTAAACAACATCAACCTAGAGAAGTCGACTTGTGAAAGAGACCTTGGGGTACTTGTAAGCCCGGACCTACGGCCTAGAAAACAGTGCGTTAATGTTCGAAATAAGGCAAACAGAGTATTGGGTTTTATATCTAGAAGTGTAAGTAACAAGAGTGCAGAGGTCTTATTGCAACTATATCTTGCGCTAGTCAGGCCACACCTCGATTATGCGGTTCAGTTCTGGTGCCCCTATTATAGAATGGATATAAATTCACTAGAGTCGGTGCAGCGAAGAATGACAAAAATGATTCCGGGACTTAGAAACCTTCCATATCAGGATAGGTTAAAGAAACTTAACTTGCATTCCCTAGAAAGACGAAGAGTGCGGGGAGATATGATAGAAGTATTTAAGTGGGTGAAAGGAATCAATAAAGGGGATATAGATAAAGTTCTTATAATATCCGAGCAGGATAGGACTCGGAGCAACGGATTCAAGTTGGATAAGTTTAGGTTTAGGAGGGAGATAGGAAAAAACTGGTTCACAAATAGGGTGGTGGACGAGTGGAACAAGCTTAGCAACTTTGTAGTAAGTGCGGGAACTCTGGAAAGTTTCAAAAGGAGGCTAGATAGATTCATGGATGATAGAGAGTGGTAGTAAATCTCGACAGAAGCTGCCATGCACAGGCCAACCGGCCTATTGCAGACTCCTTATTTTCTTATGTTCTTATTATTGTTATCATTATTATTCTGTTTTGTTTTAATTTTTTAATTTTTATTGTAAATTTTATTTACTATGAATTATTTTTATTTAATTATTAATTTTGTATTTTTATTATAAAATTTATTTACTATTAATTATTATTATTATTATTATCATTATTTATATTATTATTATTATTATTATAAAATTTATTTACTATGAATTATTATTATTATTATTATCATTATTAATATTATTATTATTATTATTATTATTATTATTATTATTATTATTATTATTATATTATTATTATTATTGTTATTATTATTATTATTATTAATATTATTATTATTATTATTATTATTATTATTATTATTATTATTATTATTATATTATTATTATTATTATCATTTTGCCCTGAGGCCCTGTTGTTGAGCGACCTGTGCACGGTTAGGCTAATCCTGTATTAGCCTCTGTCTCATACAGTATAGAGACAGTAATGTTATATAAGTATGGGCTAATAGCATATAATCATTATATACATTCTATCACCCAGACTATTGAACATACAGCTACATAAGCATTTGTTCTTTCACACCTCCTAGGGTGGACAGCCCATAAACATTTGTTCTTTACACCTTTTCGGGTGTACACTCTCAACAAAAAGTATCGGTGCATACTGTAGTGTGAACAATTTGAGACCAGTGACGATAGGTATTGGGAAAGGCGAATTGTTCCAGCCGTATGTTGGCAGCCCTGATTGTCAGCCATATGACAACACCTAGTGGAGGGGGAGGGGGGAGGGGTTATGAGGATACACTTACCAACCTTCCCGACATATCACAGTGTATACATATCGTTTCGGAACTCGTCGATCTCACCCTGCACCAATACTTTTTGGTGCGAGTATACATCCCATACAACTTCAGACTCAACCCTCAGTGTGTGGGTAGGCTATTTCGGTAATGGCCAGGTTGAAGTTTGGTTACTCTCCAACCACCAGTCACCAGACTCAAGAGAGTTCAGCCCAGTCCTCATCAGTTCACAGCCTGACACGACGCCTTAAAGTCGTGTCGTGAGACCAGCTCTCCGGGCTGTACATCTCTCTAAATATATCAGCTAATTACGCTTAATAGCTAATGCTCATTAATCTGTCAATACCAAATAATTGCACAGACATTACACCCAATATAACTAAAAAATCACCACGTGTGTTTACATTAAACCAAGGAACAACGAGTGAAGAGAACAGTACCTGTGTGTCTTGTTTAACTTACAAGCTAAGATAATTACAAGTACAACCCAGGCCAGCTGTGACGATTTCAACTATCAACCAATCTACGACTGTATCAAAGGTGACATGCCGTGAGATTACCTGATATCTCACCTGGCTGCATTAAAGGTACCAGCGACGAACCTACACTCATTCAGACAAGTGTTAACAAAGGAGATAGTTTGACATCCTATCCCTCCAAAACAATCCCTGTAAAAGTAAAAAAGTAAATAAATAAATAAATAAAATGCAATCTTGACTTTCCATTTTCAGAAAAAAACGCGCATTTAATTGTTTTCATAATATATATCGAATATTTCGTAAAGTATATTGTATATTTCGCAAAGTATATTGTATATTTCATAATATATATTGAATATTTCGCAGAGTATATTGTATATTTCATAATATATATTTTATATTATAGAATTTTGAAAATAGAAGTCAATTTATTACGTATCTTCTCATAAATTTTGATCAGAAAATTTTATCACATAATAATGCTTATGTATGCTGGAAACTGGAAAAACAAAATAATGGGCGTGGCCAAAAAGCTCTTCGGGCTTGCTGCCCCGAGTGTTTAAAAACAATTGGCCGACAACAGTCTCAGTCTGACTCAAGCCGCTCCTGAGGTAATATAATAGGAAGAGTGCTTCGTCTGGATATCAGCCTGGCAATTGCACTTTGTCATTTTATTTATCATTTGTCAGTTTAATGTTGTTTTAATCAAACACTTTATTATTTCACAATTGCGAATTTTGACACACATTTACGGTGGAAAGTTGGTTATTCATTGTGTATTAAGACTTACATACACCTTCATGTTACTGACGGTGACAATGAAACAGTTTATTTAGCCAGAAAAACTCAGACGACACAAATTGACACCAATTGCTCATATGGTTGAACACTCTTAATAGCACCTGTCATTTGTTTCAATGAATTCGTATAAAAGATTTAATAACATGTTACAGGGTAAATACAAGTTAGAATGTTATCACGTTTAACGTCGTGTTACAGAAACCCCACTGCGAGTAACGCTTTAATGTCTTTCTTAAGTTATACTGGTTTGAGACGACCTAGTGTTTGCCATTGCTTGTATACTATAATCTGGTCTGTGCATACTGAAGTTTTTACTTAAACAAATCTAAACCAATATAAACTTTTATAGCGGTTTCACTTAATAAACACCTATCTCTCCATTAGACACAAACTTTTGGGTAGTGTTGGTGGCGGATGTGAGGTAGAGTATAGCCTATAGAAGCAGCTGGCAACCCAAAGTAACTTACATTAAATGCCGAAATTGACCCTCTTACTCAGCTGAGATTAAAGAACAGGAATAAATACTCCACTTTAATATTCACAACTCCGTTTGGTGAGTAAGAGAGTGAAGGCCTTGTTTATCTATTCTAAGTGACGGGCGTTTAACTCACCCATTGATTGATTCCTGGCCATATAGTTAACAGAATCTAAATATGGAATAGTCATGTTTTTAAGATATAAATTAGAGATAATTTAATCATGGTAGTCTCCTCATGTCTGGGGGGTTGGTCACCATGGCCCACTACACACGTTTGGGGGCAGTCTTTACCAATCCTGACAGCGTTTGTGATTACGTAGGCCAAAATGAACTCCGATCACTTTCCTTACATTCACCTCTGTACGAGACCTCTATTTGGTGATAAGGAAAAGTCAAGATAATATAATTATCACGAACAATAAATCTGTCTAAAAGAAACACTTCTCTTTATTTTGTTTCACCTTTTACTCCATATTGTCAAACTTAAGGCATAAATTTTGTAAAAAAAAAAAAAAAATGGTTTATTTCAAACGACGTATCAACAATATTCTATTGTGTCCACATGTATTGTACGTGTCTAGTTACCTCTGTGTTAATAAAATGAAATTTCGGGTAGCCTATATGTATGAAAAATGAAAAACAATCGAAAATTGAACGTAAAAGTCGTCGTGTGACATCACAGCTTATTTATGTCTAGGCAGTGCTGAGGTGATGTCCGAGTCATTGGTATGCATATCAGTAATATTTTTGCATAGGTCTCCACCGAGTCTTTCAAATAGTGTTCCCCTACCACTGGTCTTGTCCGCCCCAGCCCGAAGAGGTAGGATGACACTGGGTTTTCCTGGGGTCTACAGCAACAATTAAAATAGATGATAACAGATCGCAGGCACGTTCGTGCCCAGTGAAAGTTTGCAAGCTCTTGCTTTGCTAGCGTACATGGAATGAGGGTGCGTGACTTGCATGGTTAATTAGGGTGTGCCAAGTCCGTAGACTTGCATCATTTTCCATCATAAATAAAATGGTTAATTAATGCCTTCCTAAAGAAGCCATCGACATGGGACCAGGTTTGTTCCACTCTACGAATTTTTTGCGATTTTTCCACCAAGTTTGATGAAAAACGATTGTGCCGTTTCGGCTGCCCAGAACAGACAGACAGACAGACAGACAGACACACGCCTAGTCCTATAGTATATTAGATACAGGGTGTTCCATGACCTTAGAGAGTTTATTTATGAGGTCATTCCAGTCAAAAATACTCAATGAACAAAGGTCCAATTCTCAACGGTTATGGAGTTATGGGTATTACAAGTTAAGTAATGATTTACCCTCAATAAAAATAATTTGTTTAATAGTATAGTTTATTCTACAATACATGTTCAAAATGGCCGCCTTCATCTTAGATACGAGCAAAAAATGAACAGCTAAAACGTGTATCCAAGCTTAAGGCAGCCAATTTGATCATGTAGACTAAAGTTTATATTATTTGGCACTTATTCACTACGATACCTTAGCCCTGGAGTAATCCAATTTGCTTCAGGTTAGTTTTTTCTCTGTACAGATGTAGTGTGGACAATACACTTGTTCATAAACATAGAGAAAAGGTGATAATAAATGAGTATCACAGGTTATTATGATGAGTAGTGACTATCTTCAAAGAAACCATCAAATTCACTTTCGGCTGTGAGAACTTTAGTCTGTGATACTTGATAAATACATTCAATATTTAAGGAATAATATATATGATGTACTGGTTATATCAGCGATTATTACCAACTTCTACACAGACAGGGTGGCAAGGAAGTGGGTATTGGCGATGGCAGTATTTTGGGGTGCTGTAGGAATGATGATGGTGGTGGTGGTGGTAGTGGTGGGCAGTGAAGATGGATTGCAACAGAGTGCGCAGCCTATTGGGAAACAAGAGCAACAGCAACAAGAGGAGGAGCAACAACAACAAAAGCTGCAACAGCAACAACAATATCGACGACCTAATGTGGTGGTGCTAGTGGCAGATGATCTTGGCATTGGTGATCTTGGCTGTTACGGCAATACTACCATTAACACGCCGAACATCGACAGGTATGTTGTATCTCCGTCTGCATGACAAGTGTGTAAAGTTGGCAAGGTTGCTGCTCCTGGTGTGTGTATGCGCGCGTGTGTGTGTGTGTGTGTGTGTGCGTGTGTGTGTGTGTGTGTGTGTATGTGTGAAAATATTTAAAGTGAGTTAATGGACTGGAAAATAAGTGTAATGTCAATTCTGAAACCATAGATTTATAACAAAAACAGTTGAACTTTTTTTCATGGATTCCAAAAACAAACATTCAGAGATATTTTTTAAATGTTTTGGAACCAGTTCAGTAATTCATTAAACATACACACTACTACTAATTAGGTGTCACTCGCAATCGAGTATGACGATCGTCAAGCTATGATAAAATGATATGAGTTATTAAGGATGTCACCTTCGTTGGTGATCTCTGAGGTGACTAGAGAGGCCGATACCGGAGCAGCAGGATCATTCACAGATGTGGCACATGTAGAGGGCTACATCTAATGCAGGAGGGGTAATGGCAGCGTCTTTCCTACGTTGGTGCTTGTCTGCCTTGGTTTGCAGTTGGGCTAACTCGAAAGTATTGACACCTTCTCGTGTGGTGCTCCTTCAAGCGTTACAGTGTGGAGTAATCATCTCCCAGGTGAGGGGGTCAATTTGGCATTTTTTAAGGTTTGCCTTAAGACTATCCTTATACATTTCAGTTGCCCGCCGGCGTTACGTTCACTATTCGTTTGGTGACTGTAAAGTTGCTGCTTTGGCAGTCTACGGTTGTCCATACAGTAAACATGGCCAGTCCAACGTAGTTGCTCACGGATAATGGTAGCCGCGATGCTCCTGAAAGTTTTCAAGTGTCTTGAGGTGTCTTCTGTATGTGACCCATGTCTCGCTGCCATATAGCAGGGTGGGGAGGACCACTACTCGATATACGTGCAACTTTGTAGATAATTTAAGCTCCCTCGCTGAAGACAAAGGTACGGAGTTTGTCAAAGGCTTGAGATGCACATCTGATCCAATGTTGATTCTCTTCATCGATGTCCGCCGCAGTGGTGAACAGGTGGGAGCCTGGATCCTGAAGGTGGGTTACATTAGAGAGGGTAGTACCATTAAGCTGGACGGATGGTGGAGGTGTGGCTAAACCACGGGCAGGCTGAAAGAGAATCAAAGTCTTATATACATTCACCTCAAGGGCGAAGTGTGCATACGCATCTGTATTGGTGTTCAGGATCTCCTGTAGACCGTGTTCAGTTTGAGCGACAAGGGTGAGGTGGTCCGCATAATGAAGTTCAGTAATGGAAGCTCCCGATACCTTTGTTCCTGCCTGGAGTCGTCTTATGTTGAAAAGACCCTTCGTCCGGTACTCAATGTCCGCCCCGCCGGCTGAATTGGCACTGACAAGAGTAAGGAAGGCAGCTAAGAAAATGGAAGAGAGAGTTGGTGTCAGGACACATCCTTGTTTTACCCCCATTTGGTTGGGGAAGAACTCAGAATGGGTGCTATTGTGAAGGACACTGCTGTTCATGCCATAGTGGAGTTGCCTCACAATGGCGATAAATTTTAGGTGGCAGCCAAAACGGCTGAGGGTCCACCAGAGGGCTTCCCTGTTGACCGATTCGAAGGCCTTAGTTAGGTTAATGAAAGGCATGTACACGTCACGACGCTGTTCTCTGCTCTTTTCCTGTATCTGGCGGATAGCAAAGATCATGTCAGTAGTGCCACGTGATGGTCTAAAGCCATATTGGGATTCTGGGGAGGAAGATTTCCGCCACAGGAGGATTCGGGCAATAATTTTGCCAGCTACAAACAGCAGCGAGATCCTGCAGTAGTTGCCACAGTCTGACTGGTCTCCCTTGCCCTTATAAATATTGACGATGGAAGCGTCTTTATGACCTTAGAAGATTTCCTTCTTTTCCCATATATATACTCCAGGAGAGAGTGGAGACTGCTGGTAAGCAGAGGTCATCCTGCTTTATACACCTCGGCTGGGATTCCATCAGGCCCTGGGGCTTTGTTATTTTTCATCTGCTTAATGGCAGTAGCTACCTCATCCACGGATGGAGGATAGCTGAGATGGGTCAGTTCTGAATGCTGAGGGACCTGCTGGGTAGACAGGACATCCACACCAGTGTTTCGGTTGAGTAGCGAATGGGAGTGCTCTTTCCAGCGCTGAAGAATGCCTTTTTCGTCTTTAATAATTGAGTTACCGTCGGGTGAGTGTGGGGCTGCGCCATGAGTGATTGGCCCCAAAAATGTTTTAGTAGAATTGAAAAATTAACGCATCTTGTGTTGATCTGCAAGTTTTTTGCGTTTCACATGCTTTATTTTTAAACCAGTCGGTCTTTAGTTTGCGATGTTAGTTAGTTAGTTAGTTAAAGCATCACGTTTATCATTGATGAGTCCATTGATTTCAGGATCATTTTCATCAAACCAGTCCTGGTTTATTCTTTCGATCTGGCCAAGGGCCTCTCTGCAGGTTTTTGTCACGACAGTGTTGAGAACGCCCCATTCGGCACTGGGATTTGGGTTATTTGTTGTTGGGTTGTTTATCAGCCCATGTTTGAGCTGCTCTCTGAAAACAAGTGCTACCAATGGAGCCTCCAGACGATTAGTGTTAAAAAAATTTCTGGAGGCTCTTTGCCTTCGCCGTTTGCGGGCGACATGAAGTGAGAGCTTGGCTCTGATGAGCCGATGATCAGTGTCGCAGTGACGTGAGCCATGCATGGCTCAGGTAACGAGGACATCTCGGCGATCTCTTTCTCTGACAATGATGAAGTCAATGAGATGCCAGTGTTTGGATTGTGGAATGTGGGTGTTGCCACGAACTCTTGAACTTGTCGGCCTGCCTAAACAAGGTATTGGTGATAGTAAGGTTGTGTGCAGCACACTTGCTGAGGAGGAGTATTCTGTTGGATATACTTGCCTAGTCCATTTCTCCCTATGATTCCCTGCCAAATGTCAGCATCTCTGCCAACTTTGGCATTGAAGTCACCTAGGCGCACAATCTTATCTTCTCTGGGGATAAAGGTTAGCATAAAAGGCCTGCTTGATATCATCCTCTGCATCCAGTGTTAGGGCATATGCACTGATGAAAAAGGGGACTCTGAGCATCATGAGGTGCTCATTGATCCCAACAGGCAATTCAGTTAGCCTGTGTAGCATGCATTGGCGGATGGCAAAGCCAACTCCATAAATGCAGTTTCTCTCTGCAGCAGGCTTATCCTTCCAGAAGAAGATATAGCCAGAGCCCCGTTCTGTGAGTCGGCCCTCATCTGGGAGCAGGACTCACTAATGGCTGCTATGTCGATGTTATACCTAGCCAGCTCTTTTTACAAGGGCAGTTCTTCTTTCAGGACGTTAATTTGTGCCAGTATCCAGAAGGGTCCTGACATTCCATGCAGCCACCATAAGAGGTTTTATAGTTTGCTTTTGTTTTACTTTTACTTTTACTTTTATCCTCTTTACCACTTATCGGCTCGTTAGCCGCTTGGGCGATCGGTCACGTCTCTGTTATGCACTGTTGGCAAGTACTGGGCATGCACCGGCTCCGGAATGTACCTGAACCTGCTCCAGGTTTGGTCAAGTCTGGTCTTGAAAGAGCTCACTCGGTGCCGTCACAACACTTTCTGGCGGATTGTTCCAAGTGTTCAAAACTCTCACTCCGAAAAAGTTTGCCCTCACAGTTTTCTGGAACTGCTGCTTCTTCAATCTTGAGCTGTGACCCCTTGTGGGGCGAGCGTCCGCCAGTTCCAAGTAAGGACACTCAACTGAGTCGTGCCCCTTGAGATGCTTATACACCTCATTTACTTCGCCCCTTGCCCGTCTGTAGTATAAGCTAGGCAAGTTCAGGCGTTCCAATCTCTCAGGGTAATTGAGGTGCCGAAGTGCAGGCACAAGTCTGGTGGCCTTCCTTTGAGATTTTCAACCAACTGACAGTCCCTAGCATATCTCGAGAAACAGACGGGGTGACAGTGCTCCAGATGGGGAAGCACTTCACTCTTGACGATCGTTACGATATCTGAACGACCTTCTTATAAGACCCAATAATTTATTTGCCTGATTTGCCTTATTCTCCCAATCGCCCGAGAACTTCAGCTCATTGTCAACATACACACCTAGGTTCTTCTCACATTCTGTCTCAAAAGGCAGTTTCTTCATCCCGTTGGTTTATATGATACGCCCCTTTACTCGCCAGGTGCAGCCTCTTACACTTCGTGACATTGAATCTCAGCAGCCATTTTTGTGATTATAATTGTGTTTTTGACCGAATAAGGATGACCTTACTGGATGCGGTGCCCAGTCAGGTTGGTTCTTTATGCAAACTGTGTTTAGGGCACCTTTTCCAACCCTCCCCATGTGGGGTGAGCAGAGTGGCTACTCGAAAGGGCTGCTCAGTCACACAGACAGGACCGGATTGCACTGCTGCCTAGATCCCAGTGCATGAGCGACCATCTTATCTGTGCCGTCCATGAACAGAATTGTGACTAGAGACTCCTGGCAGTCTTCTCTGCCTGTCCCCGTCGCCACCTGTCCGTCGCTATTGAACTTTTTGGGGGTATAGGGGTTTTGATGATGATGAGGAGTATGATGAGCCGGATGATGGTTGTGCATGAGTTGATTTATGTGGTGAGGCAGGAGTGCAGGCTGCAACCACACATCTTGGCTCTCCCTTTTCCTGATCCAGTGGTGTAAGTGCTGCAATGACTGGGGAGAGGGAGAGTTTCAATGGACTGCCAATAGCCCAGTTTGTTTTGTTTCGCCTTTGTAGCTTGTCCATCATGCATTGCCTTCGTCCACCGGTGAAGTCATTGAGTTCCCATGGTGGTCACCTCTTCCGCCTATACCGCTGTTAGGGTCTTGTTGGAGCTCTGTAAGCATGTCTGCTTGGTGCGGGGCTCCACTGCAGAGATTTTGTTTGGAGTTTACTCCCGTAACCTTATACCTACGAAGGTTAATCCGCAAGGCAGCGGAGCAATGGTTGGTGTGCGCCAGAACGTATCCACATGCCAGTGGGCCTATGCGCCGTCCCTCTGGGGCCCACTACTACTCCGAGATCCCCTGCTGGTCTAGCCTGGGCCCACGAGGTACCCAGGTACCGTGTGTTGCCACGAGGAGGCATAGCAGGAGGCTGTGTACTGGCAGGGGAAGACTTATGCAAGTTGCTTAACCTGTTCACCACGAGGGCTCGCCAGCGGTTGTTGCTGAAAGCTAGAGGAAGCAAGCAGTGCTTGCACCTTAACACTTAACATAGTGCTACTACAATAGACGCATAACACCACCCTGTGCACACACACACACACACACACACACACACACACACACACACACACACGAATACAGGACATTAATTTTGTACCCACTACGGTCCACAACCCTATCAGGTACTTCACCCTTGAATAACATAACCTTATCAACTTCACATAACAACAAACGCTAGTTCGAACTTTCAACTTCATCCTTATACATTAACTGTTTGGAGAGTCGATTTTGTTTTGTCATTTGTGTTATGAATCGTTTTTTATGCATCATTTCTGTTTTAGTATCCGTCTGCTTTTTAATATTTTTCGACTCCACAAAGAAAAAATTCATATTGTCTAACATTCCCCGTACGGTTATCTATACAAAGCTTTAGGTTAGACTCTAACCTAAAGCCTTGTATAGATAACCGTACGGGGAATGTTTTAAAACAAAATAATATCATCCTTATCCCCTATTTTTACCATTATAACATTGGGATAATAGTAGAAATTATACAATAGATCAAGGAGTCTTTGATTTTTGTGTCCTATTAGAAAACATTTTAAAAAGTGAATAAACGTTTAGTCATTCCCTTACAAATTATAAAAATCAGCGGTGGGTTAACCTCAAACTTAGATGTCTCTTTAGTTTTAATCATAAGTTCTAAGGTTATCTTGTTCTTTGTTATCTTAAAATCTTCCTACCTTAAAGTTCATCTTGCTTCTCATGGGCGCCAGAACGGGTGCGGGAGGGAAGGGGAGGCAACGAGGATATGTGGCTGCCCCCAATAACGCTTATATAAGAGAATGCATAGTATGTGTATAGTAAGTGCCCTGCTCTCCTCCATAGGTACAGTAAGCAAGGCAGTTAAGGTAGTGTCCCAACACTGCCATTTTGTGTACAGTACACAATGCTTAGTATACAACATATATGCCATATCCAGACTACATAGGGATCCACTATCAATATTAGATATGATAAAGTAACACTAAATAAATGGAAGCGGTATTCTTCATAGTCGTCTAATCATACGCTAATAACAATCATTTCTCTTCAACCACATATGAACATTATCTTTGTCACCCTTGAGTGTTGTGTTGCTGTCAACAGGCTAGCTAGACAAGGTGTTCGACTCACCCATCATTTGACAGCGGCCACCGTGTGTGACCCAGCCGTGCTGCCTTGCTCACCAGCCGCTACCCAGCACGTTATGGTAAGTTAAATGACCTTCAGTGGGCTTTTTTTTTTTTTTTCTTTTTTTTTTGTAGAGATAGAGAGGGTGAAAGAAGATCAAAGGTGGGGGAAGGAAGTTTATAGTTTGGAAATTGAATAAATTTAGGAGGTAGGAGAGGGCGGGCTGGCCTTGCTGTGAGTAAGCTAAGCTAATAGTGTGTTAGGGTTGTGTCATGGGTTAGTTATTGTCCGTCGGTAGAGGCACTAGACAGCCTACCCTATCCCATATATGGGTGTTTAGAGGGACTTATTTCATATTCCGCCGACCCTACTGGCGGATGCTGGTCTGGGGAGGTGGACTGACCTGGCCGTATAGATCGGGGATGGTAAGGACCCTTTTGATATTTGGTAACTCTTTGGGAACCATGTATGGTTGTTGTCGTTGAATGGTGGGAGTCTCTGAAGGAGTTCTTGCTCTGAGTGTTCTATCTTTTGCCAGACTCTACTGGCCATGGTGTGCAGCTGCTGGTTGATGAGTTTTATTCTCAGGTTTCTATGTATCTCGGCTGTGGTTCTGGTGAAAGGGTATCTTTCACCTGTGACGAACCTCATGGCTTCATTTTGGACCCCCTGTAATTTTAATAATTGGGTGGTGCTCGTAGTATGAAGAGGTACTGCTGGGTAAGTTAATATTGGTATGATAAGTGATGTCACCAGGCGGAGTTTTATATTCTCAGGAAGTGCGTTAAAGAGGTAGAGTTTTCTCGGCTCTCTTCTTGCCTTTTCCTTCCTGGTGTTGACATTGTGGGAGTAACCTGTCGTGGATATATGCAGGCCCAGAAGGGTTCCCCTGCTTTTGTATTCCCTTGGGCATTGCTGGTTACTGATGGATGGGTTTTCCTTCTGCATAAGGGTATTACTGTGAATTTCGGGAGACTGGTTTAGATTTCCTTTTTTTCAGTTATTTACCCTTTCTATTTCCCGTCTGGTGTTGTCGACCTGTAGTGCTCTTGATTTTCCTCGGTGTGTTGTTATTTGAGTGATGTCATCTGCATACCTGTACATAATATCTTCGTTGCCTATTCTGGTAGGAGGTGGGGTGTCACTTGTGTAGATGATGTATTGGGTGGGAGAGGACACTGCCCTGAGGGACTCCGCTCATGAGTGGGAAGGTCTCTCCCGTGTGTCGTCCCACCCTCAGTCTGGCATTCCTGCCATCAAGGAAGTTACAAAGCAGCTTTTCGATGTTGGTGGGAAGTCCATGTTGGAGGAGCTTATATTTTAGGCCATCATACCAGTCTTTGTCAAACGCCTTCGCTACATCCCGGAGAGTTAGATCACATTGGCTACTACTCGCTGCGGATCTGGCTATGTTCTCACATGCCAGGGCTATCGCATTTGAGGTGGATTTCCCTTTCCTGAACCCAAATTGTCTGCAATTGGTTCTGTTGGTCGTTTCCAGGTGATTTCTCAGACGGTTATTGATGATTTTTTCTAGAATTTTTCCAGGTACTTCGAGGAGGGAGATCGGTCTATAGTTTAGTGGGACGGCGGGGTTCTTTCCTTGTTTTGTTAGGGTAATAATGGCCTCTTTGAATTTAGTTGGGAAGTAACCCGAGGCCAGTGGCATGGGAGCCTTCTTAACGGCACCTCGCAAACTGGAGTCTATGTATTGGTTGGTAAAATTCCTCAGGAGACTATCAAATTGCGGCTTTGCATTGATGATTTGGTCCAGTCAAACAAAAATGCATCGACCCCACCCTAGCTCTCGTACTGGTATTTTACCTGACAATACTTGAAGTAAGGCTGTAAGGAATCGGGAATGTGATTGGTGGATCTATTTTCCGCTGTATCACTGTCAGGATAAATATTAAACAAACCAAAGGTAACATATTTATAATAATAAACTATTATCGTTATTTAAACATGATGAGTTTTAAAATATTAATACATTTGCTTAAATAATGAAGAAAATGACTTTAATGAATTGGCACTTCAACTACATCTAGGGCTACCATTATAACCTCACATCAAATTTCAAGAATACATGCTCCATAATTAATCTTGATTATTTCATGAAGGAAGTAATTTTCTTTCTAATGTCATTATTCTATAATGTAATTTGACGTAAGTTAGAGGGCTGACACTGTGTAGTAGACTCAACTGACAGAGGGTACTACTAGTAGAGTGTCCTTACCTGGAGCTGGCGGACGCTCGCCCCACAAAGGGGCCACAGCTCAAGGTTAAAGAAGCCGCAAGTCCGGAAAACTGTGAGGGGTAACTTTTTCGGAGTGAGTTGTGAACTCCTGGAACAATCTGCCAGAGAGTGTGGTGACAGCACCGAGTGTGAACTCTTTCAAGAACAGATTTGACCAACACTGGAGCAGGTTCAGATACATTCGGGAGCCAGTGCATGCCCAGTACTTGCCAACAGTGCGTAACAGAGACATAAGAACATAAGAACATAAGAAAATAAGGAGTCTGCGATAGGCCGGTTGGCCTGTGCATTGCAGCTCCCGTCGAGAGTTACAACCACTCTTTATCGTCCATGAATCTTGCTAAGCTTTCACTCGTCTACCACCCTATTTGTGAACAGTTTTACCTATCTCCCTCCTAAACCTAAACTTATTCAACTTAAATCCGTGATGATCCTATCCTGCTCGGATATTATAAGAACTTTATCTATATTTCCTTTATTGATTCCTTTCACCCACTTAAATACTTCTATCATATCTCCCCGCACTCTTTGTCTTTCTAGGGAATGCAAGTTTAGTTTCTTTAATATATCTTGATATGGAAGGTTTCTAATTCCCGAAATCACTTTCGTCATTCTTCGCTGCGCCGACTCCAGTGAATTGATATCCATTCTATAATAAGGGCACCAGAACTGAACCGCATAGTCGAGGTGCGGCCTGACTAGCGCAAGATATAATTGCAATATGACCTCTGCACTCTTATTACTTATGCTTCTAGATATAAAACCTAATACTCTGTTTGCCTTCTTTCGAACATAAATGCACTGTGTTCTAGGCCATAGGTCCGGGCTTACAAGTACCCCAAAGTCTCTTTCACAAGTCGACTTCTCTAGGTTGATGTTGTTAAGGCTGTATACATTGACAGTATTTGTTCTTCCAATAGTAAGTACGCTGCACTTGCTGGTGTTGAATATCATTTGCTATTTTTCTGACCACTCCTGCAGTTTACTTAAATCCTCCTATAGTGCATTTGCATCCTGCCCTGAATTAATCTGCCGCCCTATTTTGGTGTCACCTGAAACTTGCTTATGTCACTGCTGATCCCAGTGAATAGATCGTTTATGTAGATTATGAACAAGAGTGGGCCCAGTACTGACCCCTGGGGAACCCCCACTAGTTCCACAGCCCCACTCAGATTTAAAACCATCTACGTTGACCCTCTGTGTTCTATCGGTGAGCCATGATTTTATCCAATTTAAAACTTTCCCCTCGATACCAAGAGCCTTAGCTTTTCTCAGAAGCCTCTGATGCGGTACTCTGTCAAATACTTTGCTAAAGTCTAAGTAAATAACATCGTAATTTTCGTCATTATCTACTACCTCATATTCTTTCCTAAAAAAGTCAGTAGATTTGTTAGACAAGATTTTCCCTTTGTAAATCGGCTAAGAAACCGATCAGTGGTGAAGAGGATAAAAGGAAAAAATAGCCCTGTACCAGCGCCCCACGGATCACCAAGTATTACCAGGTAAAACTGCGAGTATGAGAGCTAGGGTGGGATGGTTGCATCTTGAACCTCAACTAGTGGCACCACGCGACCTAACAGGCGATAGTTTATTTCCCTTTAGAGTAAACTGATCAATCTTACTTCTTTAAAGTAATTTACACGTTGCTGTTATTTTGTTTTCCCTCTGATTTCTGTAATTAACCTATTATAAATTAGCTCATCAAATTATATTATATAGTTTCCATTTATTGAAGAAGTGTAAAATTTGACAGCCTACATGACTGCATACTGACATATGTAAATAACTGCGGAATAACGACCGTGACTGTTTATATAACGTGACACTATAAATATAGGGTATATTACAGGTTTGGTTGGAGGCAAGGGTACATCAGGTGTAATTGGTTTTGTTGCTGTCAAAGTTGGGTTGCCTTTGGACGAAGTGACCCTCGCCACTGCCCTTACCGCTGCCAATTACACCACAGCTGCTGTTGGTAGGTTTGTTACTTACTGTAAACGTGTCTGCTTGTCTATTTATAGGTAACAGTTCTTAGTACTTTGAAAATATAGTTCTGTACTTATTTTTCTATGTGTGGTGGAATCTAGGGCTTAGTTTAAATTAAACTAATACTATAATATGTGGGTTGGTAAGGCCGATGGGACACCTTGTCCTATTTGTTGGTTCGTACTCCTGCCTGTCCACCCAGCTGTGAATAAGTACCTAAAGTTATATTTGGATAAGTGGAAGTAGTTAAGTGCAGGATTGGCCACATTGCCTCTTCATGTACCGAAGGTAAGGATAAATCTAAGATTCTATGGTGTGATGTGTCATCTGCCCCTAACCGGCCACCACGCCTATGGGGCCCACTTTCATCTCTTTTATTCTCTTATTTAATATATATATATATATATATATATATTAAATTTATGTAACATATTATCAGTTTTGAACTGACCATCACTAAGGTTTATTGATTTTAATTCCTTAATCAAACTAGCTTCAACCAGAAGTCTTTCTGTGACACAAGATGATTTAAATACGTCTAAGCTTTTTTCCCAAGCAATGGGATTAAAATCAATAAACCTTAGTGATAAGAACATAAGAACATAAGAAAATAAGGAGTCTGCAATAGGCCGGTTGGCCTGTGCATGGTACCTCCTGTCGAGAGTTACTACTACTCTCTATCATCCATGAATCTATCTAGCCTCCTTTTGAAACTTTCCAGAGTTCCTACTAGAAAGTTGCTAAGCTTGTTCCACTCGTCTACCACCCTATTTGTGAACCAGTTTCTTCCTATCTCCTCCTAAACCTAAACTTATCCAACTTGAATCCGTTGCTCGAGTCCTATCCTGCTCGGATATTATAAGAACTTTATCTATATCACCTTTATTGATTCCTTTCACCCACTTAAATACTTCTATCATATCTCCCCGCACTCTTTTGTCTTTCAGGGAATGCAAGTTTAGTTTTTTAATATATCTGATATGGAAGGTTTCTAATTCCCGAAATCACTTTGTCATTCTTCGCTGCGCCGACTCAGTGAATTTATATCCATTCTATAATAAGGGCACCAGAACTGAACCGCATAATCGAGGTGCGCGACTAGCGCAAGATAAGTTGCAATAAGACCTCTGCACCTTTTACACTTCTAGATATAAAACCTAATACTCTGTTTGCCTTATTTCGAACATTAACGTACTGTTTTAGGGCCGTAGGTCCGGCTTACAAGTACCCTTAGGTCTCTTTCACAAGTCGACTTCTAGGTTGATGTTGTTAAGGCTGTATACATTATAAGTAGTTGTTCTTCCATATGTTAAGCACTTGCTGGTGTTGAATTTCACCATTTTTCAGACCACCCTGCAGTTTATTTAGATCCTCCTGTAATGCATTTGCATCCTGCCCTGAATTAATTTGCGCCCTATTTTGGTGTCATCCGCAAACTTGCTTATGTCATCACTGATCCCAGTATCTAGATCGTTTATGTAGATTATGAACAAGAGTGGGCCTAGTACTGACCCCTGGGGAACCCCACTGATTACACGGCCCCACTCAGATTTAACACCATCTACGCTGACCCTCTGCGTTCTATCGGTGAGCCATGATTTTATCCAATTTAAAACTTTCCCCTCGATACCATGAGCCTTAATTTTTCTCAGAAGCCTCTGATGCGGTACTCTGTCAAATGTACTCTGTCAAAACTGATAATATGTTACATAAATTTATTTGTCAGTGGCCCAAGGTTAAAAATGCTTTGAAAACCTTTGATCTAGATGTATGATAGTTATTTAGTGGGTCCCTTATTTTTTACCTGACCTGACTAGTCAACCACCCTTCTCTTACTTTCTACGTGTGTTGGGTGGGGACTAGTGGATGACATCATTATGACCTGACCTCATGTTTTTAAGGTCAACCTGTATATTTAAGCCTCTCTGTCCATGGAATCCAGTTGCCTCTGAAGATGTCTTGAATAAAGACGAAAAGCTAAGGTGCTCCGTTGTTTCCTTTTCCTGATTTATATATATATATATATATATATATATATATATATATATATATATATATATATATATATATTCACAAATTAGATATCAATATGACTAAAAATGTTTCCAGCACATGAAAACAAATAACATTGACAGGCAAGTGGCACCTGGGTTCTCGATGCGGCCTTTTCGGACGAGGTTGTCGGGGACCGCACCTACATGGCTTCCAGTCTTTCTTTGGCGTCCCTGCAACCCTGATGCAAGAGATGGGAAGTCCTCATCCCTTTTTCACATTACCTCCGGATAACACAGTTTACCAGGTAGTGTAAGTCACACATTTTCTTTACACATTCCGGCTATTTATGATTCTTTCATCTAGATGTCTTGCCCTTGGAGGTGAGCAACAGTTGTTAGTTTCTTTGTATATCACATATTATAATCCTGCCAAAGGTAAACGTCTTTTCTACAAAATAATCTACAGTATTAATGCACCGTTTATGTCACCTAGTGATGGTGAAGGTTAATTGAGTGAGAACATTTATCAGACAGCTTTTAACTCTGACTCCTCAATACCATACCTGTCTTGGGGGATTATCTTGGTAGATACATTTATACCGAATATTAAATTAGTATCTTTTTACACTCTTTGCGTGGCAGTCCTCCCTCCATTGTTATTAGAAATGTCCCCCAGCTCGCAACTACACATTCCTAAACAAGTCCTCCAGGCGTGCTCCAGATACACCACTAGGTAAGGTGTGTTTCAGCCCAAGGCGTGATTCAGCTCCAATTTGCGTGTTTCGGGTCCCGGTTAAGGCGTGTTTCAGGTCCCAGTTAAGGCGTGTTTCAGGTCCCGGTTAAGGCGTGTTTCAGGTCCCAGTTAAGGCGTGTTTCAGGTCCCAGTTAAGGCACGCTACAGTAACTAACTAAAGAATCTGTGTGTACAATTACACCATTGACACCAACTAGGTATAGTAAAGGGGTATTCACCTTTCTCTATCATACTAAGTTAATAAGACATGTATGTCGGGTTTCCCCTCGTTCATATTCATTGTGTTCTGCCTCTGGTGTTTACTCTCTGTTTGTAGAGAGAGCGAGACAGAGACACAGAGGGGAGACAGAGAGAGAGTGAGAGACTGTTTATCTTTTACGTACATTATTTCAAGACGAATCATATTAACAGAATTTGGTTCATTGACACTTTGAATACATGAACTACTGTCAAATACGACGTTAGCCTATAGTATGTATGATAACTTAATCATTTTTTTAGTAGTTGACAATTGTGCTAAAGAAGATTTAATTCACCGCAGGCAATGGATTAAGTTACATTTCCTAAAAGGTTAATTCCCGGATGTGTAAGTGACCTTTGGAATTTACTTGCCTGGATATTCTGTTTTCTTGCCCTGACAAATTTTAGGGAACAATTTGCTTTCCCGGTTTTTTTTTAGAAACTTAAATAAACTTCTCAAAACCTTCAAATTTACTGTGTATATCACCTACCCTATAATCAGTGGCGGTAACACTTGTCATGTGAGGTCATAACACCTGTCACCTCACGTCTACAGCCTTTCTTAGGTTGTTGGTTACTTTGAAATGTTGTCAAGTTGACCGACTAACTAGAGGCGGGTTGGCAGCTGAATGTAGAGGTAAATTAACCTGCACCTGACGTACAGTAGGTCACTAATCCTGGGACACTGATGACTCACTGGTTAAACATGTGGGGTGAGTCGAGCAGCACCTGACAAACTTCCGTTAAAATATTAAATTGTCCGCCAGGCAAATGGACATAAAAATCATTTGCGTGGTCTCAAGTGAGAGTAACTGGGTGCAGGTTGGTTAAGTCGTACCACTAAAGGGATCAAGTCATTGAAGAGATAATCTTCTTGCTTCAGCTCTCCTTAGTTGAATTAAAATGTCATTGTTCGTAAGCTTATTTCCGTTATGTACAGTTGCGGACATAATTCCTCACACTTGAGGATCTTTAAGTGAGAGCGATTGGAATTCTAACATACCTTCTCAAATTCTATTTGCAAGAAGATATTTTATCCATTTTGTGATTCTGGAATAATATGTAATGATAAGCAGCGCTATTAGACATAAATTAATCAAATAAGGTTTATAACCCTGAAGTACATGCCAGATATTGACAAGTGTCCTGGTAATTTGTTCCTCAACTGTACGTGCTGAGTCAAATGTAAATTTGAATGAAGATTATTAACTAAATAACACCTATCTATATATTTATCTATGTGTTATCAGATGCTGGTGACCATAATGTTAGTGACTGGAGTGACGCTATGGGGGTGTAAGGGTCAGCGGGGTGTCGTCTTCGTGTTGCTGCCCTTCGCCCTGTTCATATATGGTTCACGTTTTCACACTACCGCTTCCACCGATAGGTGGTGGCTGGTATGTATTGAAGAATAACTAAATGACTTCTAGTCTTAATAGTCCCCAGACCAATTAAGCCTCATTCTTAATGTAACTAATGCTAATTGTAGGATTGGGTTAGTTTGGAATCTTTGAGATTAAGAAATATTTGAAGTACAATCTGTTTTTCCCACGTTTATCTCTTTTGTAAACATATCAACATTTTGAAAAGCTGGATGAATAGAAGTAGGCATTACAATATTAAAAATACTCATTTGTTACTGAACATTAGAGAAGAGGTACTAGGGGTCCGAAAATCCAGGAATCAATAAGAATTTACGAAAAGTTAGAAAGACTCGTTCCAGCAACGAGAGGAATACTGGAAATTTATAGAATAATAAATATTAGATACTTTCGTCATATAAATATGGAAGGGAGGATAATGGAAGAAATTATGTTGGGTAAAATTGAGGGTAGGAGGATCAGCGGAAGACAGAGACTGGGGTCAAATAAAAAACTGTAGCCCCAGACATACAAAATCTGGAAGGACTGGTACAAACAACCCAAAACATTTAGAGTGGAAAATCGTAGTCGCCAACACTTACATATGATGAAGGTGCCGTGATTGATCGATCGAAAATACATGTTTCCAATGTTCGCCACGACGCTCACAAGGCGTTTATACAAGATAAACCATCAATGGATCCCAAGACCATGGCTGATCCGTTTATATAGATGGTCCAAATACCCAATTCATTACTACTGATTCCTGGCATTTCGTACACCCTTAGCAATTGTCATATTCTTCTAAAGGTTACATCATCTACGTGTAAATGTGTCAGAGCCATAAGTTTATGCCAAAACATTGATACTGCGACTTCTTAGCCCTGAGTGTAGTAAGTGTAGGAAGTTTTACACCGGAGCCCAAACATTGTATAACATTCTAAATTTTAATCATAGGATAATTAAAGCCTATAACGGTGACTAAATTGATAGGGGAAGAGATTCTTACATAATCAGCCAACCCGTAATCAATTTACAGACCATTGATTAACCCTGTGAGGAGGATGGACTGTTGAGGATTAAGCATAGATTATTATCATCGAGGAATTAAACTTTAAGCCATCATCTTCAAAGCCATAATTTTACCGTAAAGTATTCCTGGACATTAATATAATAACAAAATATATGTAGAAGAAGCATTCAATATTTTTGGATAAGGAAATTACTCTGAGCTAATCTACTAATTTGTATCCATGTACAGTATGTGCTCTACCGGCCATGTTTTAATTGTCAAATGAGACTGAAAGAGACCGCTTAACCCCACCTGGCTAAACAACCGAATTTCAGACTTATTTTAAGAATTGCGTTAGGAATGGTCAACAGTGATTAAATAAACATGATATATCTTGAATGGTAACTTAGTGATGTTTGACAAACCCAATAAGGCATCACCTTGGATGATGCGAATCATGAACAGTATCCTGATGGATGATGAGCGGGTGTTGGAGCAACCGATGGTGCTTGCTGGCCTCTCACAGCGGCTGGTGGATCACTCCGTTAAGTTTATTGCTCATCACGCCCAAGACGATCGTCCCTTCTTCCTCTACCACTCCTTCACTCACGTCCACATTCCCATGTTCACAGCAGCAAACATGAGTGGACGGAGCAAACACGGACGGTTGGTTCATACAGGTCTCTGTGTCTGTCGGTCCCGTTCGCCATTGGTTCTGTGTTGCACTTACCGTGGATACTGACGCCCGTATTATTAAACAACATCTTCCCTTGAAGAGGGTCGTCGTATTTCAACCCGAGTTTTAAATAAAATTAGTCCTGAGGGACACCGCAGTACAGTACTTAACGGGGTGGTGTGGCGGTAAAATTAACTAATTCCAATATTATAAATTAATTTTATTGGAATTAGTTATTTCTACTACCTACCATCATTAGTTAAAACTCGGGTTTAACTCTGACGTCAACTGTCTGAATCTGTCCTAGATTCAAGATATGGAACATAACAATATATAATAATAATAATAATAATAATAATTAACAATAATAATAATAATAATAATATCACATCACCATGGATAACCGATAAGGAATCCAGGAAAGCCACATACTGTACTTGTATTAAGTTTTTGCATGAGTAAACTTTTATTGTCCTCCACAGCCTCAGAATCTCGTGAGAATTACAGTACATTGAGCCATCCACCAGTGGCTTACTCCCTCCCTTATCCTCAATAGTAATTATCACCAGAACTATCTAATGTTGGTTTAAATTAATCTTCCTGTTTAGTACTGTGCTCTGTTTATTATATACAGAAGATAACATTGAATTTAGTGCACTCTAGTGAACGTAAATAGTGAACAACAGCAACCAGTAAGCATTCGTGATTGCAGGTATGGTGATAATGTTGAGGAAATGGACGACGGGGTAGGGAGGATCTTGAATGCTCTCACAGAACATGGCCTGGATCAACATACTTTAATTTACTTCACGTCAGACCACGGGGGCCACCTGGAGGCCAGAGAGAACGGCGAGCGAGTTGGAGGCTATAATGGACGCTTCAAGGGTCAGCTTACTTGTACTTATCCGTGATGTCAGAGCAAATTAGAGATACTTCTTAGAGATATGACAATGTTCTGGTAAACTTTAATATTGCATTTAATTTAGAAATTTTCATTTTCTTGGTTAATTTTATCCTTTAGTACTTAAAAAATATATATTGATAAAATGACCGTGTAAAAAATGTGTATTTAAACTGCCTTAGTTTATCTATTTTTCCCAAATTAAAAAAGTTTGATTGCATATGTTAAAAGATCTGATCACAGCAGCTCTTTGACCCTCCTTCAGACAATCATCCCTTAATTTCCCGGCTTTCCTGTAGACACTTAAAGAGGCAGTAGTGAAGTAGTCTATTAGTCTCTGGTTAGGGACGATTTAGAACCACAGGCTTAATTTACCAAAGGAAAACAACTGGTATACTTCAATAAGATGTATCCGTATGTCGGTAGAGCAGTTGTGTGAAGAAAATTAAAGAAATGTAAATGAATATATAATGATAGTAAAATATGTAAGTCAGGGGCTAATATTTTTCATGTAATGCATTTACTGTCTTCTCCTTGTTGGCGTCTATGTCCCTCATTGTTCTTTACCTGTTTAACAATCCTCCCTCCTGTAAAGCAAAACATTAAAATCAATACGTAATATAAAACTATCTATAAGGAAGGGATGAAAAATCAAAGTTCCTTATATCGCAAAAACATTCTACTGATCTTCAGGAGGTAAATGTGCAGGTGGTACTGAGGGTGGAATACGTGTGCCGGGGATCTACCGCTGGTCAGGTCACATACCGGCCGGAGTCACTGACGACACCCCTATCTCCATGCTGGACTTGTTACCCACCACACTCCACCTCACTGGCCTCCCACCCCTGTCTCAACTAATGCCTCACCTACCTCAAAGGGTAAGTCCACCACCGCTAGTACAACCACCTGCCTCTTAGGATACAAGCCCACCACACCAGGACTTTTAAAACTCATAGTCTACAGGAACTAGTGTTTGGTTTAAAGAAAAGAACAAATCATTCTGTAATATGCCGTGAATCCAGGCTGATATATTTTCTATTAAATGATCGCAATTGATTGTAACACGAAAAAGTATCTTACAAGCAGTCGAACCAAATTCCATGGATGTCTAACCGAGGTAACTAAGATTCCATGTTACTTTTATCATTGCAGACCAGACTCAGGTCTTTGACTCAAGGCTGTGTAAGTGTGTAGCATGATACAGTTGGGACAATTTTCTCACCTTCCACGGTACGGTCCAACGAGCCTTAACTTTACTCGGTGACGTGAAAAAGGGTTGGGATTTTTTCAGGAATTGGATGGTGTAAGCATTGGAGATTTGATGACCAGCCGTAAACAGCTTCCACCGCGGGTCCTCCTCCATCATTGCAAAGGAGAAATACACGCACTTAGAATTGTTCAAGGTAATGCACTCTCTGACTTGTTCAAGGTAACGCACTCTCTGACTTCTTCAAGGTAACACATATAACTTCTTCACGATGAAACACCATTAGACCTGTTTAAGTTAAAACAACCTCAGACCTATTCATTGACACATATTTAGACTTACAGAAAAAATAACCACCACAAACATCGACGTGCTAACAGAACATATCAAAACTGCCTTTCTTTATTACACTTCATTTCAAAGTTTAAAGTGATGGGGACCTTCTATAGACAGACAACTCTCGACCTACGTAATGCCCCTTTAAAATACACCTTTTCACATATCCGTTGAGACAATGTTACATAACTATTTGACAAATTTCATAACCGAATGACAGAACACATATCTCATGACAATCTAAAATAACTGTTCGTTCATGCTAACGGAAGTGATTGACATAAGTTATGAAGTTGACAGACGTGAACAATAAACCGACAGTCTACATATAGTTTGAGAATGTAACAATTGGAGAATGACATACCACCAACAGTTATTTTAGATTGTCATTCGATATGTGTTCTGTTATTCGGTTATAAAATTTGTCAAATAATTATGTAACAATGTCTCAACGGATATGTGAAAAATTATACATTCAATGTCATCAGCAACTGTTTTTTCCACGTTCACTTGTATCGAATTTGATATACCATGGACCTGAAACAACATCTCTGGTATGACACATTTTCTTAATAGGTAATGCGACATACAAAATGCAACTGGCAGGGTATAAGTTTAAGCCCGGGAGTACACAGTGTGGCTGGGGACTCAAGACTTGCTGCTCGTGCTATGATGTGATCAACTACAGCCACGAGCCCACTTTTCAACCTCCAGCAGGACCCTTACGAAGATCACCCGATTCCTACCAACACTACTGAGTAAGTTAATAGAAACGGATATAGTCGTAGAAAATTAAATAGGCTAAAGTAATTAACATATTTCTTTTTGTTCTTCGGATATTGTTCATCGGCATTGTTATATACTTTTTAGTTATTCAATGGGTGAATAAGTTTATTCACTTCCATTTATGTGAAATTTTAATTTAATACTCTGTAGGTTTTTCTTTAGCACCAGTTTTTAGCTTAGTATTAGTATTTGTTTATATATAGAGATAATGTAGAAAAAATGTATCACTGTCTTTGTTATGCAGAAATAAATATCTAGTCTTCATTGTTTGTCTGAGGAACTATAAGAAAAAATAGCCTTTATTTTGTTATGATCGTAAGAGAAAAATACAAATCTTTGTCTCTTTGTTGACATGTGGTAATAAGAGCATATATTTTAGTTTTCCAATCAAACATATGATGATCTTACAGGTATATGCAGGTGACAGGAATACTGAAGCAGTATTTGGCTAAGTGGAGAGAACGAGTGACATACCCACCTTCATTGTTCGGAGACTTCCAGAGCAACATACACTTAATCTGGCGTCAACCCTTCCGTTCACTGTGGTAATTGTCAAATCTAACTGTCTGTAAAATAACTGACAGGTCTTACACCGTGTATTTGGTATCCATATCTCGATAATGACCTGTATCTGTTAAGGCTTGACTTCAAAGCTTTCACACATAAATGGAGTCATGACAATTGAGGAAGTAGGTAGTAGGCAGCTATCGAACAGTGAGTTATTACCGCCTGGGAAGATATTGGAAACATAATTTGTTGTGTAATGGTAGACCCTGCTGCTATATGGCATCACGAAAATTGTGACCAAATCCCAGGTTGCTGATCTGTCTTTCTGCCTCGTTTACACACAATTGCAGGTCTCAATTGTTTCTTTTACTTGACAACACAACAAACATAAAGCGGTACTCACTATTTATTTTATTTTTTTCTTTACAGTTCTTTATTATTATTATTACAGTGTTATTGTTATCATTATTATTTTATTTTACTTTTTATTGTAAATTTTATTTACTATGAATAATTATTACATTTGCAGGTAGCAGCATTATTATTTTTGTTATGATTTGTCTCTGAACGCATTGTTACGTGACTGAAAACTAAGCCCGAATTCATGATTTCATTGACTGATGTCTAGGGGTTTGGGATAATTTAAGAACTTTTTGTAATGGGTAAATTTCCCAATCAATGCCATTAATAGTTAACAAGTTTTTTTAACCTGCAGTAAGGCTTACTTAATTCCGACATGATTCTTTGAGTTATAGAAGTAGCAATAAAGGGTAGAGAAATGTAAACATAAAGGCTCCAGACTCTTACCAAGGATCCCTAGAGCCCAATAGAGTGACCCACCGCTGATATTGTACCAGTTATGACTTGTTCGACCTGAAGATATTGGTGGGTACAAATATCAGGCCCAATGGTTATTGTGGTCATACACTATTATAGCTGCTTAATGAAGATCTTGCTGTCTTATTAACCTATGCTAATTGATATACCTTCATGAACTGATAAGTTGTTACTCCAAGAACATCATTCTCGACGTTACCAGAGGAATGACTCACATCTATCCTCTTCCTTGTAATGTGTCATGTGCTTAGAGCTCTTATATTGTTCTCTTAAGTGTAACAAAAACTAAATAAATGCTTCGTCTAAAGTTCTAAACCTTGTGTATTGTATCCTCACATCTGACCATCCCAGAAAATAAAGAGATTCAGAAATTGAAACTCAATTGATAAATCTTTATCAACGAAACACCTTTAAACACGTAATCTAATTTAGTAAAGTACATACTCTAGTTATCAACTATTAGAAATTAAATGAAATAGATCTGTCAGTCGTTGTACTGGTAGGTTACTCGGGAGCTTAGGAGACTATGAGGTAGTGTAATTTGCAAAATTGCAAAATTAAATATATTGTTACGGAAATTCTTAAGCAGAGGTGGATCCAGGCTGGGGTCCGATCTCCCCATTTATCAGAAAATCAATAATTCTTCTTTAGTACAGTATTAGATTTCAAGTATTTTGCATAGCAAAAAGTAACTACTATTGACCTCAAAATATATCCTAATATCAAGTTCAATATGGCTTAAAAATGGCCTCAAGATACCTATGGTATTGGTCAGATTTCCAAAATTATGGGAGGGCTTACAGTCCTCCCTGACTAAAAAAAAAAAAAAAAAAACAGCTGTGGGTTCGTGCTCGCCATGTTACCTCACCCGTAACTTTGGACCCCCCACTTTTGATATCCCTGGATCCACCCCCTGGTAAGGGGGGGACTTTTTTTTTTTACTGGGATTTGCCCAACCGGTCACAGGTCACTGACACACATCAGGGCCTGGGGCGAAAAAATATAATAATAATAGCCTAATAATAATAATAATAATAATAATGATGATGATGATGATGATGATAATAATAATAATAATGATGATGATGATGATGATGATGATAATAATAATAATAATAATAATAATAATAATACAAATTAATAATAATAATAATAATACTACAAATTAATAAAAAATAAATTAAAATTATAATATAAAATAAAATAATATTGATAATAAAGACCAAAAATAAATACAAAAATGAAAAAAAAATCAAGAGTGAGAAACGATATACAGTATGTATGAGACCCTGCAATTATGTGTAAATGAAACAGAAAGTCAGATGAGCAGCCTTGGACTTGGTCACAATTTTATATGATGCAATATGGCAGCAGGGTCTACCGTGAGACATCACATTATGCTTCCAATAACTTCCCAGGCGGTAGTACCTCCCTGCTTGATAGATGCATCCTATCTACGAGATAGTAGGGAGGTTGAGGATAGATGGACAGATAAACAGAGGACGGGGGGATAGAAGGTAAAGATATAGATAGATAGTTAGATAGATGGTTGAATGGATGGACAGGTGGATAAAAGGAAGTATGCTCGGATATTTCCCAGTACTTATGGCCACTATACCGTATTCGTCGTTAGTTACGATGAGGTCTTGCGGTTTGGGTGTTTGATCCCATCTATAGTGAGTCGGATCTTTCACCTGTTGGAATAGAAAATGATCTCTCAGAGATTCTTTATTACTTAGAGCAGAGACGTTACCGAGAACAAATTCTGGCATGAATGTCATGTACACTAATACTGACACGTTCCTTGATAAGAGAATTTGAAACACTACTAAGAGTACACCAACCAGATATTGTAGGTGTTGTAGAACTGTTGTACAAGAACAGGAGAATCGACCCAGAGGAATGTAAGTTCAGTATTGCTGGATATGACTCATTTACGAACCTATCTCAAGAAACTTGCAGAGGGGTGTGGTTACTATGCTAGGCAAGACCATAGAGCCAGCCAGGCGAGGGTACAGGGAGGATGTTTTGAAGAGTCCAAGTGGTGTAAAATTAAATTAAAGGGAGGGACTTACTTATCGTCGGGTGTATCTACAGATCCCAAACTGTGGCCCACTAAATCAAAGACTTAAGAACCTTAATAAACAACGCGGCGATGCTCAACCCTAGCCACCTCCTTATCATGGGGACTTTAGCAGGCATCGACTGGAGGCAGGTCCACCCGGAATGACGCCCTGCTCTTTTCGTAGAAACTCAGAGATAATTTTCTGTTAACATATTAAAGACCCGACACATTACAGGGAGCAAACACCAAGCCATGACCTCATCATAACAAAAGAGAGGTATGGTGGCCAAACTAAGAACTTGCCCTTTAGTTGGACCAGTCACCATACAGTGTTGTCATTCAGATTTATTTACCTAGTTCAGGATAAGGCCAGGTCAGGTGCAAATATTACAAGGAAAATTACAATGGGATGAGGGAAGAATGAGGGGTTATCAACTGGCCTGACTCATTAGGTACAAGAACGCAGACACTACGCTGAATATCATAACTAGTAAAGTGACCCATTTGATCGATAAATATATACAAGACCAAACCCAGTGCTTTTAGGAATACGAGGGATCCTACGCATGAACCATGCGGCGGTCGACAAAATTAAGAAGAAAACCCAGAAATTCAAGACGTGGGTTGGGTCAAACGATGAGCAAGAAAAGGAGGATGTATGCAAGAGCCAGAAACCAAGCAAAGATAGAGTGTAGGAGGGCTGAAAAGGAGTTCAAGAGGCTGGTTGCAAGCGAGGTCAAGTCAAATCCAAAGGCATTTTACCGCTTTGCAAAGTCGAAATTGAAAACGCGAGTAGGAGTATCAGACCTGAGGCTAGTGGATGGTAGTTACGCAGATTCTGACCAGGATAAAGCTGAGGCATTGAACAGCTTCTTTTCCTCGGTGTTCACAAGAGAGGATGCAACTAACCTTCCTGCGTTTGAGGACAGACGGTTCGACACAGCATTTGTAATGGTCATGATAAGGTAACCTGAAAACCAAAGGATTCATATTACGCTCAAACGTCCACAAAACCTTCTGAGTCCCCAGTGGAAACGTCCCCCGTTTTCTCTGTTTACCTGCTTGTCTATAGGGGAGCCAGACTGTATGTTGGGACCTGTTGCCATACAACCCTTTGTATTTAATTTTGCTTTCGATAGCTGAGTCAGAGCATTGTTAGTGAAGATAATAGTAGAGAATGAAAATGAGTCCATAGTCTCAGTTTCAACGTCAGGTACAGTAAATTAATTCATCGGAATAGGTAGGTGGACTCCCTCGTCTGGTTTGATGAGGGCGCCGCGGGCATTTCCTGATTCGTAAGTGCCGTCCTTCGTCCATATGGGTATGCCATTCCACTCTGTGTTGTAATTCGTCCTTCTTTAAGTGATTTACCCAATTAATAGTTGCTTGTGCAGCGTTACAGTAAGGTAGTTGATATGCTCTGAGTGAAGTCATATTTACGTCTTTCGTCCCCAAACGTGATGTTGTTGTCACCGGTTAGTAAGTGCCGTCCCTTCATCCATACAGGTCCCTAACGCAGCCTAGGCCGTGTCTGGCGTGGATGTTGTATCCACTATGTCTGGGGAGATGTCCGAGGTCCAGTAGGATCAGTTACCTTGAGACCCGGCCGTCAGACACTTCAGACTACCTGCTCGCCAGCTGGCTCGTCTGGCCCTAACGCTCGGTCCACGAGGTGACGCCGGATCACCAAGCCACACACTACCAGCCCCCATCATTGGTGGATGAGTGTCTAACTCAGTAGGGCTATTTGTGTGGTGGAATTAATCCACTGGGATCTCAGGAGTTCGTCGGATAGTACTCATGGTGGGTGGACCCATGGCTGTTGCTTCAGTAACACACCTGACGATTGAGTGTTGTGGTGGCGGTTGCCCTAGTATTTATGGTGCTAAGTGACTATGAGAGTTGTATTATTGAGTATGTCCACCCAGTAGGGTTGGAAGTGTTTTGAATATGTCCACAGTAATGGTGTGAGTATTGTTGAGCCTGGGGCCTAGTACTAGATTTCGTCTGTTAGTACAAACAAATTCTTTCTAATTTCATATTCATGTTTAAATAAACTTTGTATTTGTATAATTGTGTCTATTATTTACCTACAGTATTACCGTTATTTCTTCTATTGTGATACTATCATTACCTACCCACGGAGCCTCTATCGCCATACCAATGGTGATAAATATAAATAAAAGGTATTACTACTTTAGAGGCCCTCATAAATGGTGGGAGTTCAAGCCCTCATTTGACCCACGTTGTTTCACAGAAGAGGTATTAAATACACTGTCCAGGCTAAAGGTCCATAAAGTCCCGGCCTGACATGGTGCATCCTAGAGTGCTAAGAGTTGTGCACGAGCTTGCAGAGCCCTGAAGATCCTTTGTTAAATGCCTGGATGAACAAATGGCCCCAGTGAATTGAAAGTGGCTTATGTAGGTTCTATCTTCAAGAAGGGCTATCGTCACTCCAGGAACAACTATAGACCAGTTAGCCTGTCCAGCATAATATGTAAATACTTGAGAGTGTTATCAGAGATGCACAATGGAACATCTAATACGAACAACCTTGTAAAGATTGCTAACACGGTTTTTGCCGGGGCGCTCCTGTAACACAAATGCTCAAGGTATTGGATATTTGGACTATTCTGGAGCAGGGGTAATATCGTACAATATTTACCTAGATGCCAAGGCTTTCAGTGTGTACCCACGAGGCTAAATCAAACTGGAACGGTACGGAATTCGGGAAAATGTCCTAGCGTGGATAGAAGACTTTCTAAATGACCGCAAGCAGTGTGTGGTGATTAATGGCACGAAATCGTCATCTGTACCTGTCACAAGTGGGGTACCACAGGGCAGTGTATAGGGCTCACTGTTGTTTGTTTGTTTCATAAATGACATGCCTGACGTTGTACACTCCCATATAAATGTTTGCAGACGACGCCAAATTATTTCGGGAAATTAAGAACCAAGCGGACTGTGAAGAACTGCAGAAGGACCTCTGTGGGCTCCAGGAATGGTCGAAGAAATGGCTGCTGAGATTCAATGTCACGAAGTGTAAGAGGATGCACCTGGGGCATTACCAACGGTAAGTAGGCGTATCATATGTCCCAATGGGATGAAGAAACTGCACTAGTTGAGACTGTATGTGAGAAGGACCGGTGTGTATGTTGACAATGAGCTTAAGTTCTCGGGCCATTGAGAAGAAGGTAAATCTGGCAAATAAATTATTGGGTCTTATAAGAAGGTCGTTCAGATATCTAGACGGTCCGTCCCGTAAACGATCTTCAGGGTGAAGTGCTTCCCATCTGGAGCACTGTCACCCATCTGGTCCCCGAGATATGCTAGGGACTGTCAGTTGGTTGAAAATGTTTCAAGGAGGGCCCAGACTGGTGCCTGCACTCGGCACCTCATGCCCTGAGAGATTGGGCCCTGAACTTGCCTAGCTTATACTACAGACGGGCAGGGGACTAGTTGAGGTGTATAAGCATCTCGGGGGGCACTACTCAGTTGAGTGTCCTACTTGGTTTGGCGGACGCTCGCCCCTGAGGGTCAAGCTCAAGATTGAAGAAGCCTCAAGTCCAGAAACTGTGAGGCAAACTTTTTCAGGTGAGGTTGTAAACTCTTGGAATAATCTACCAGAGAGTGTTGTGACGGCACCGAGTGTGAGCTCTTTCAAGACAAGACTTGACCAACACTGGAACGGGTTCAGTTACATTCAGGAGCCGGTGCATGCCCATTGCCCAGTATTTGCCAACAGTGCGTGACAGAGACGTGCCTGATCGCCCGGGCGGCTAGCTAGCCGATCTTTTGGTGAAGAAGATAAATGAAAAGGAAAAATAATGAGAGACGTGACCGATCGCCCAAGCGGCCAACAAGCTCATCAGTGGCGAAGAGGATAAAAGTAAAGTAAAAAAAAGTAACGGGATTATCAAGGTCATTTGAGAAAGGGTACTGCCAGGAATATTTTAAGTTCATTTAAATTTTCTCATAGTGTGAAAATGATTTTCAAAAAAAGACGTTACAGATCTGTATATTCAACTATTTGTACAATATCATTATAAGGTTGATGCTAACTAATTTAACTACAACAATTCTCCTTTTGTATTGATTACTCGGATTTAACATCAAAACATAGCATGATAAGCTATTTACGATTAAAACTGTTGTATTCAGTATCTATTTAATGCATAGACATTCATTCTATGTATGCATAATATGGGTATCAACATCTCATACAATAATGATGCAGGAATTAATACCGCCGTTAGAGTCCCTGTACCTGCATCATGTCCGATTCTCTGTGTACTTCCTAGTCTTAAGGCTGATGCTTCCTACTCCAATAACATTGACAGACGATGATAATAACTATGGATAAAAATGGAAATATATTTAAGACATGTTTTTTCAAGTTTAGAGTTTACTAAAAGACACTGCATTAAAACCAGACAATACTTTAAGAGAAACTTGTTCAAGGTTTCGGATTAATGTTTTCCAGCAGACGACGCACAGCAGACGACAAAATCGAAGTGCAGAGAGTGGGCCGCTGCTGGGCCTTTTTTCAGCAGTATCTCAGGTATTTCTCCTGTATATTTATCATATTCTTGTACAAATATTGTGGTATATGATTACTACAGTTAAAGAGGTCATCTCAAAGTTTATTGAAGGTGGAGTCAATGTCGTAAAGGGAGAAGACTGGTGAAATGATAAATTAAAGTTAAGAAGATTTTTCCTTGAGATGCTCGACCCAAGATAAACAAAGACTTAGTTTTTTCTTGGACATCATTGGTGTTATTTGCCGCTTTTCTGTCACTCTTAATTGTATCATAGGATTTAATACTGTATTATGACTCAATGTTACGGAAGTTAAATGTTAAGACTGTACGTGATGCTTGATGCCACTTGAAACCTCTTCCTGTCCCTTTAGTGTCAAACCTCAGTAAAGGTGAATAGTGTTAGTCAGATAAAGCTTTGTGGCAAGGATGTAATTTTTGGGTGTATCAATAATGACAACATACATGATGAATTAACCAAACCCAACTTAATCTGACAATCAAACCCAGAAATTATTTTGTAAGCTTTGAAGTAATTTAATATGTGATGTGGCTTTGTGGCCGTAATGTTGTGGTTACCTAGCCCACAAATTGCATGACCTTATTAGGCCACTAGGTTAGATTAGAGAAAGTTTCACCCATTGAAAAGCTCTCCAATGTAATGCAAAATGTAGGATGGTATGAATTCTATTCCCTAAGAATGCAATATCACAATCACTTAGCCTGTGGGCAAGGTAGTCGCAATATTATAGCCACGGAGCCACATGGTTTAATTTCCGTGAGGGGGGAAGAAAGCTGACTGCATTTTAATGCCCACATTGTTCTTGATCTATTTTGGGTCTAGTGCTAGTACAAGGCAGAAACTGGAGTATCTGGAGAAACCTTAGTATGTTTAGTAGGTTCACATCTGACCCGGGATATGTTGGTTAGAGGCAAGTGGCTGCTACTATAGCGTGCTGTTTACAAAATATTTTGATTAGGGTAGGTTAGTTTAGGTCAGGTCAGGTTAGGCAAGGTTAGGCTAAGTTAAGTTAGGTTAGGTCAGATAAGGTTTGAAGATATCTTTGTAGACCGCACGCTATAGTAGCACCGGCAAATGTGCTACTACTTTACCACCACCATCACAATACAGTACAGTAATGAAGACATAAGAACATAAGAAAATAAGGAGTCTGCAATAGGCCGGTTGGCCTGTGCATGGCAGCTCCTGTCGAGAGCTACTACCACTCTCCATCATCCATGAACCTATCTAGCCTCCTTTTGAAACTTTCCAGAGTTCCTGCACTTACTACAAAGTTGCTAAGCTTGTTCCACTCGTCCACCACCCTATTTGTGAACCAGTTTCTTCCTATCTCCCTCCCAAACCTAAACTTATCCAACTTGAATCCGTTGCTCCGAGTCCTATCCTGCTCGGATATTATAAGAACTTTATCTATATCCCCTTTATTGATTCCTTTCACCCACTTAAATACTTCTATCATATCTCCCCACACTCTTCGCCTTTCTAGGGAATGCAAATTAAGTTTCTTTAACCTATCCTGATATGGAAGGTTTTTAAGTCCCGGAATCATTTTTGTCATTCTTCGCTGTAACGACTCTAGTGAATTTATATCCATTCTATAATAGGGGCACCAGAACTGAACCGCATAATCGAGGTGTGGCTTGACTAGCGCAAGATATAGTTGCAATAAGACCTCTGCACTCTTGTTACTTACACTTCTAGATATAAAACCCAATACTCTGTTTGCCTTATTTCGAACATTAACGCACTGTTTTCTAGGCCGTAGGTCCGGGCTTACAAGTACCCCTAGGTCTCTTTCACAAGTCGACTTCTCAAGGTTGATGTTGTTAAGGCTGTATACATTATAAGTATTTGTTCTTCCAATATTAAGTATGCTGCACTTGCTGGTGTTGACAAAATGGAAATTTATATTATTTTAGTGTGGGTTTGATTTCAAGTTGATAACTATGACATTGTGAATCTACTAAGTACTGTGTAAACCAGCAACAAAACTACAGTATGTGGAGAGAAGCAGTGGTTTGAGAGAATGTCATTGCCAAAATTTACATTCCGTATTGTTTTATCTACAGTGCTATAACAGCACAGCGAGTCTAGTGCACTAATTTTCTGTATACTGTGTACAGTCTGTGGTAGGCCAACACGATTAGCATAAATCTTCAGCTGTGGTGACTACAGACTACAGTTATTTAGTTTTCACTATCAAATCAGTATCAAGTAAAAAAAATTGTCTTAGAGTGCACCTTACCTTGGTTTATTATAACATGGATTATACCACATTACAGTAAAGGTAGTACCATGTTGGAAATACTGCTTCTTGTTGGATCAGTGAAGTTTAGCATCATTGGGTCTGGCCCTAAGAACACCAGATGCTGGTGGCATAATAAGTACCTATACTTTACTGGAAACCAGCATCCCTTGGCTTTATCAGCTGTCCTTGGTCAAATTGACTGAATAACAATTATTTATATTATTTTTGTGTTGACAAATTTTGGTTTGGAATGTATTTAATTTTAACATGGGATCCTACTTGAAAATGGTCCTGTTTAGTGAGAAATCACCTAACAAACACTTTTTCAAGAATACATATTGCATGTTAAATAGGACCTTTTTGTATATATATACTACTATACTGCATTTTCATATGACAAATATACTTTAGCTACTGAAGTTTCTTGTGACATATATATGTAGAATAATACTGTAATGTGCTGTAGTTTTCTGTTGTGATAGAGATTGATAGAATAACTGTACAGTACTGTGGTTTCCTGTGACATAATAATAGTGTAATACATTATAGCTTCATATGACTCATAGAATAATAATACCTCATACAATGTATTTGAGTTTCATGTAAAAGTGGTACGCATTTATTGATTTCTGTTCACAGATATGGTGTCTTTTGCGAAGTACAGCCTGGTTCCCACAGATGACCCAAAGGAGACAGTAGATCCCTTACAGTCAAGAGTCTCAGGCGCCTTTGATTACAATTCAGCATTCAGCTACAAGTCGGCATTCGACTACAGTAAAACTTCCAGTCAGTACCAGTCTGCGTTCGACTATGGCTATGGTCACAGAGCTCACTCAGTTTCCCTCAATCTTGGGGAGAAGGGTTTGTAGAGGCATTGATTCATATTGCGTCTATAGTTTCCTATCCATGTTGTAGCTTTCTTCTTCTTCGGCAACCTTCATTTTTTCCGGTAGGTACCTAGGAGTGTGTCCAGAGATATTTTCATGCCTTGAAATGTGCTCGAAGTTATGTGGTAACTAGCTATCATTAACACCACTACACATATGTAAAGTTGTGCTGATTTCTTTACCTGAGCATTTGAATTTATCACTGGAACTGATTGCATCCCCTGGATATACATACAATAGTCTTTTTTTCTTTCTTGTCTTTACCTTGTGCTGAAAAACTCAAGCAAAAGTGCCTTCATACATGAAGATTACAGCATACCTCCAAACACAAACCCAGACTTGCACCACTCTCTTAAAAATAGGCTGATTTGTGACTTAAATTTTCTCTCCCATAGTTGGACTCATATCTTCTCAGTGCTTTCCTAACAGTTTATCCTTAATGAATTTCCTGAAACCTTTAGAGTATGCTTTTTAACTGGCCTTGAGTGTGTCATAGTTTTTGACAGGGTTGGCAAGGATATTTCTTTTTTCAGAAACTTGGTTGGATTATGTAGTGTATTCCTTTTAAGATTGGTCTTCATTAGAAATATTGGGAAATCTTAATGTTATGGATCTTTTTGTAATTTAGTCTGTATTTATGGAAATATTATAGCTTAGGATATACCCCAAAATTTTTATAAATATCCTCTGGTAATTTTATTTTTATAGTATGTGATGTCATGGTGGATAATTTAAATACAGAATAATCTTGTTAAAACTGCTGGGATATGTCTACTGAAAGTCTAGTTGCTGCTGCTTGATACAGTCTAGGATGTATCAACACATAATTATAGAACATGGTGATGTTAATATGGGTAACACATACAGTACATTTTTTTACATATCCGTTGAGACATTGTTCCATAACTATTTGACAAATCTCATAACCGAATGACAGAACACATATCGAATGACAATCTAAAATAACTGTTGGTGGTATGTCATTCTCCAATTGTTACATTTTCAAACTATGTGTAGACTGTCGGTTTATTGTTCACGTCTGTCAACTTCATAACTTATGTCAATCATTTCCGTTAGCATGAACGAACAGTTATTTTAGATTGTCATTCGATATGTGTTCTGTCATTCGGTTATGAGATTTGTCAAATAGTTATGTTACAATGTCTCAACGGATATGTGAAAAGGTGTATTGCACCTTGGTTTTACTACAGTGTTTGACAGTGTACCAAATGAAAAGCTAGAGGGCCAACAAGTGAAGAAGAGGATGAAACATTAAGAAATTAATACTTGGATTACTACTCTTTGGGGAATTTTTTTTAACTAAATTAGTTTTCTTAAAAAAAAAATTGCAGTGAAAAGTGTTAGTTCAGTATACGCTCATAGACTAGAAATGTGTGCAGTGTTGGGTTTTACTTTGCACTTACATGAATTTATTGAGCAAATTATTGTGTAAACTTTGTCACAGTAGAAACATTTATGTTGTTCTGGTAGTTCTACCAAAGTTTTTTCTTCCCTTACTTTGCTTTTTACTACAGGACTTACTTTTGTAATTAGTCTCGTTTCTTTTGTATATTTCCCAATATTTCTGGGTGTTCCCTGTCACTGTCTTGTATGTGGGAGAATTTTTCCAAGTTGTCAGTGACCCTTTATATGATGAGGATATTTTCTAAAGCTGTCAGTTTCTAGACATAATTTTTGAATTGCCAACTCTGAGTTTTAATAGAAGTGCATTAGTAGTGAATGTAATTGTCCATCAGCATGATTGCGAAATAAGTAGGGTTTTTAAATAGTATAATTTTTCATGTAAATTAGGCATCAGTTTTTTGCTGCAATGACTGTGTGGTGATGTTTTCCATAACTTATTTGTCTAGGAATACCATATAAACTAAATGTTGCAAGTAACAGTGAAGGTTTTAACCACATATCATTGCCAATTGTGTGTTAATTTATTGAATTTCGATGAATGGTAGAGTTATTCTTATGAAAATGTATGACTTTAGTGTCCCATAGTGCCATAACTATGTACTATTACATATTTAACAACAAAATGAAAGACAAATTTGATGTGGTTGTCTTACCGACATAGAGTGAATAGCCATGTGAACCTATTTGCAGCCCCAGAAATCTTAATAAGTTTCCTGCTGTTGTTGCTTCATTTCTCACATGCTCAACATAGTCGGAGACCTAAAGAGGTCTGTTTAGGTTACATGTACTGTGCGTTTCTCTCCAAGTTTTTGTCTTACTACAGTAGGTTATTATCAAAGTTTATGGTGTATAAAGGTTTGTTTTATGAATGAGATCTTCCTTTTGAGTTTTGTCCCAAGAAATTATGGTCATTTTTGTAGTTGTCAATGTTTCATTATAACCTTGAAGATGGTAGTTTAGGCTTGTCATTTCCAGAAGTTGCAGTGCAATATAAGCGTAATTTAATAATAATGTATTAGATTTTCTTAATGTTGGCACTGAGCCTTTTTTTTAATTTGAAAATTTTTACGTAAGCTGATTTTAATTTGGTTTTATCGTACAGTACTGTTGTCTCTGTATCATGTCGTCACTCCTTTGCCACATATGTAAATATGTGTGGTAGTTTTTTGTTGTGTTTTGTGTAATCAGGTTCATAATTTTCACATCCAGGTATATTTAATCTTTATTGCTTTGAAGGGACAAGGAGGCTGAGTGGATATACCACTTACCTCTTGTCATAAGGGCTGCTGGTTTGCTTCCAGGGCACTTCTATTTTAACCAGTTGTTGTTGAATACTGTACTTAACTTTACAGTTGGGGAAGTGAAGCTTTCCAGTGCATAGCCAGCCACCTTCCCTCCTTATGCACTAAGAGTTTGGTCTTTAGTATGCTTTATGTACACACTGTACATTATTGTCATTTAAACCTCCAAATGTTTAAAATATCCTGGAAAATTTAGATGACAATATCTACAATCTTACACTCACCATTCATGATCATAATTATCAAATGACATATATACCCCTTTGAAAATAAAGGTCACTGTGACCTTCTTCTTTGGAAATATGGCCACAACATAGTACAGTCACCATACTTGTGTATGGTTATCCAATAACACTTTATAACTCTTTTGAAAACTTGGTTGCAGTAACCTACATCTAGTAATTGATACTAATGCAAAACTTGTCATGGCAAACAAACTTTATGTACATGATAATCTAATAATAACTACAGTACTCACCTTTCTCAATACTACAGTAGGTCATTTTGGCCCACATCTAGACAGATTGGGTCGTGTTATGTTTGATATCCAAGTTTGGTCTTACAAGAGTGCAACATAATGCTATCACTAGATTTCATGGGAGTGATTAGGTTATGACACCCAGTCACCTCCCTGAAATAAAACACATGGTTCAACAATGCACCTGCAGGCGAGCTATGTTGATTTTAGACAGCTCATGTCTTTTTGTCCTTTTTTTTTTGCAAACCTCAGTATCTTTCATACTTTGAATGATTTCATTTACATTTGGTTTAACAGAGCTTAATTTTATTGTTTGGAGGAATTTGCACTCTATTAGTTGGCTTTAGAGGTTTCTTTTAAGATTATTTATTTATACATTCAAGGATTATCCTTTTTTGCATAATTACTCTATTTGCTGGTAGACAATCAAGCCTCTTAGAACACTGGTTCTTTTCTGGTCTTATGATATGGATTCAGACACTGTGCTACTGGTTTCATCTTGGAAAGGGAGCTGAACTGAGTATTTCACCTACAGCTATTAAGTACAGTATAATACATAGTGTAAGTTTTGAATTAAGATGAATGATTTCTAATATTTAATTAAAACTGGGAATATCAGTCATTATCATTTTACAGCGATGTACAGTGGGGTATGCTATAACGAACGGATCCTACTACGAATATTCCTATAAAGAACGGTTTTACCTATAAAATTGATAATGCTATAACGAACGAAACTCGTACAACGAACATTATAATTTTTTTTTTTTTTTTTTACTAATTTATTGTTTCTGTATTACAAGTATTAATGATATTCTTTATTTCAAGGGTTTAGATGCATATTTATGCACTTTTTTACAATTTTTACAATTTAATATTATATTTTTCAGTGTTAAGTGGTTGTATTTGGGGGCCTGGAACAGATTAATCCTATAACGAACGAATGCTATAACGAACAAGGTTCTAGAACCAATTAGATTCGTTATAGCATACCCCACTGTATATTCAAAAGTTAAGAGGGTATGGATAATATTAAAAAAAGGTGTTTTTCCTAAATGTATGTGCAGTGCTTAGGGCCAATTGCAAGAACAGTCGTTGTTGAGTGTACGACGCCATTTACAATGACCCTCCTGCCCTGGTCTTTTTTCAGCAATATCGCCTTTAACACATGGAATTCTGCACTTTTCGAAGCTTTGGAGGAGTCTCGAAACAAGTTTCCTGGTGGGAATTATTAGCTAGTGCTGTACTCAAAATATCGAAACTTCGAGATCTCTCCTGAGCTTCAAAAGGGTGGTATAACTGAAACAAGATCAGGGCAAGAAGGTCATCGTAAATGGCGCAGTACACCCAACGACTGTTCTTGCAATTGGCCCTTAGTAACATAGGTTGGATCTTTAGGTATTGCCCGAAATGCAGTGTACTGTATAGGCAACGTAAAATCTTTTATTTATAGTCTGTCTCAACAGACTTTGTTCTGGCTCTCGAACTGTTATTTTATTTTTTTATATTTTTTTTATAGAAAACCAGGTCTATCAGTGTACAAAATAAGCAACTTCAAGCCTGATGGTTATTTACTGGTAGTCTTTACATTTTGTTTCTACATTTGGTGGGCTGTTCATACTGGTTATGGTGGATACAATGATACACAATTATGATTATGGATATGCACCAAGGTGTAACTACCTGGCTCTGTAGCTAAAATAAATTGTGAGCCAGACTCAGGAATGTAGCAAATTTTGTTATGATATTAGAGCATCCTCCAGAATTAGTTATGCCTGTATTTCAGATTAAGATAAAAATGATTGAAAGCACAAAGATCACAATATGTTTTACTGTTTCATGCAATGCATGTACGTACGGTATGTCATAAATTAAATAATGTAGATCACTTCCTTATGACAGTTAGTTAATCCTAGGTGATGCCCATTGCTATTAATGACTCTTGGTAGAAGGACGCTGTTAGACAAACTGCTTGTGCTTGTGCTACCTCACACTTCCTATTTCACTGGTTTTCACAAGATAGAAAAAGTTAAAGCAGGACTGACGATTTATAATGCAGTATACTGTACATCTTTATATATTCATCAATCTTGTACTTGTATAGAAAATTTTCAGGTAGAATAAAATTTATAAAGGTATTATTATACATTAAATACTGATTAATCAATTTTATGGGTTCTTACTATACAGGTACAGTACAGTCGGCCCTTAACATACGCGGGTTTATAATACACGGATTTGCAAATACGCGGATTGCCCCGCCGGAGGAATATTCTGTACATTGAAGTAATTGAAGTACATTCAAATCGCGCGCCATTCAACTCGCGCGCGGCACCGAACACGGGACACCGCCCGCTCCCGCAACCTCACACACACACGCATAGCTCTCCCTCACTCAGTCAGTCTCGCTGTAACCACGCTTGTGTTGACATCAGCATTGTAGTTGCAAAAATATTACATTTCCGTGAATGTATTATATCAAGCACAGTATGAATAGAATATCAATAATATAAGAGTATTTTAACCGAAAACTACTAAAAAAACGAGTAACATATCTTGAACATCGGAAGGCTAGGTAAAGTCTTTTGTTTTCATGTAGTTTATCCTAATTTACATTGAAATGCATTACGTTTCAGCAAAACTACTATTTATTTCTGAGAATATGGAAATGTAATATTTTGCTGAAATGACGTACGTATTACAGTGGAAAGTGACGAAAGCAATGACTCGCTTTCTTTCGTTCAAAAGATGTTACCGTAATCGCTTTTCGAATGGTTTTCAGTTAAAAAACTGTTGTATTACAATAATATTCTATCCTAATTCACTTGTGATGCAACAGTTTTTTAACTGAAAACCATTCGAAAAGCGATTACGGTAACATCTTTTGAACAAAAGAAAGCGAAAGTCATTGTTTTCGTCACGTCCCACTTTCCACTGTAATACGTACGTCATTTCAGCAAAAATATTACATTTCTGTGAATGTAGTATATCAAGCACAGTATGAATATAATATCATTGTAATATAACAGTATTTTAACCGAAAACTATTAAAAAAACGAGTAACATCTCTTGAACATTGGAAGGTTAGGTAAAGTCTTTTGTTTTCGTCATGTATTTTATCCTATTTTACATTGAAATACATCACGTTTCAGCAAAACTACTATTTATTTCTGAGAATATATTCATTCAGGCACAGTTTAGGTAAAATATACATGTGCTGTAACATTTTTTTAATTGAAAACGATTCGAAAAACACGTACCCTCTAGCCCTGTTCAAGGAGAAGACTGGGAGGAGCTGTTTGGTGCTTAAGACGATGACAAGGAAAATGATTTTGATGGATTTTAATGAAAATATTCAGAAAGACCCTGGCACTGTCAAGGAAAGTGGCTGCTGAAGGCTTCCGGGACATGGCAGAGGACGAGATTAGGGAGCTAATTGAAGAGCACGACACTGAGCTGACCGAGGAGGATCTACAGGAGTTAGTAGACTCAGGCAAGGAAGAGGAAGCGAAAGGGAAAGAGGATGAGGAAGAGCACCAAGAAATAACGTTGGAGAAGTTGGGGGAGATGACCAGGAATATTGAGGCACTGAAAAACCTGGCCTATAGTATGGACCCCTCCATGGTGCGTGCCCTGAAATTCATGCGAGGGATGGATGACGTTTTCGCTCCATACAAAAACATCATGGAAGAAATGAAAGAAAGAGACGACAACTCCCCATCACCATGTTCTTTGATCACCGAAGGAGAGATTTAACACCATCAATCACTGGCGGCAGTGAGGAAGCAGCTGAATCCACCGTCGCCCCCACTTCACCACCCGTTATGGAATTGAGTGACGATGAGCCCGATGACCCCCGTCCTGTCGCCGAGGATAGGTACTGTACAGTAAAGTGAAATTTTTATCTCTTTTTTTTTAATAGCTTTTCTTGCCATGTTTATTGTTTGTAAAAATGCACAGCACAGTACAGTTCAGTACTGTACATAGGAAGTGGAGGTGCAGTTATTCACAAAACATTTGTGTTCGTTGTCGGCAGTAGTGACAGGGAGGAGGCAGAGGAGGTGGAGGAGGGAGCGAGTTGGGAGGAGTGGTGACCTTGGACGCGGGAGCAGGGACGAGTGGAGATGCCAGCCAGTACATTACGGGTGTATTAATTGCTTTTATAGCTATTTTTGCATTTTAATATTAAATATTGTACATTACGTTTCAACAAAACTACCATTTATTTCTGAGAACATGGAAATGTAATATTTTTGCTGAAATGATGTACGTATTACAGTGGAAAGTGGGATAAAATTGTGACGAAAGCAATGACTTTCTCTTTCTTTCGTTCAAAAGATGTTACCATAATCGCTTTTCGAATGGTTTTCAGTTGTGGGATTATAAGGTTAATGATAGGATAGAATATTATTGTAATACAGTACGAGTACAACAGTTTTTTAACTGAAAATCATTCGAAAAGCGATTATGGTAACATCTTTTGAACGAAAGAAAGAGAAAGTCATTGTTTTCGTCTTTCCACTGTAATATGTAAGTCATTCCAGCAAAAATATTATATTTCCATATTTATTTCTGAGAATACCTATATTCATTCAGTCACAGTTAAGGCAAAATATACTTGTGATGTAATATTTTAATGAAAATACCAGGTATTTAGAAATACGGTATCGTAGTTTTCTTTTGTTTCAAATTTAATTAACAAAGATTGATGTTTCAAATGTAATGAACAAAAATTTATGTACAGTATCTATAAATAAACTTTAAAAAATGAATACTTTATGTTTTACATCGTCCTGTGCATACCATACCATGCATTTGGCTACTTTGGGCTTGCTATGATGACGCAAGAGATCTGCCCTAGCAACTGTACCGACACTCACAGCTGGTGGTGTGTTGGTGTGTCATTTCCATTGTTTACTGGTAGTTACTGGTAAATATTTTTTAACCTAACGAAACTATTACCCGTTTAGAGGTCGACCCCCATTTTTTGCCAAATAATTTGGTCTTAAAAACTTGAACTACACACAGGTATATACGGTAAATAAGGACATGGGAGGACCAAGTTTTTTTGGGGGGGGGGGGCAGCACATATACGCGGATTTTTAACATCCACGGGTATCTCTGTTACGTAACCCCCGCGTATGTTAAGGGCCGACTGTACTGTATATGGGTGTATTATTTCAGAAATGATATAGGTGATTGTGATTGGTGGATCTGTTTTTGGCTGTATCACTGTTAGGATAAATATTAAACAAACCAAAGGTAACATTTTTATAATAATAAACTATTCATTGTTATTTAAGGTCATGAGAAGTTTCCAAATGTTTTTATATTTAAATACTGTAATGAAGAAAATTTGATGTGAGAATCTTGTGGCAGCTGTGGTTGTAGTTGAGTTGCCAATTCATTAATATAATTTTCTTCATTGTTTAAGCAAATGCAGGTTTACGAAAATTTTGAATTTTCTCATGACCTTAAATAACAATGAACAGTTTATCATACAAATTCTAGCTTTGGTTTGTTTAATATTTATCCTGACAGTGATACAGCCGAAAACAGATCCACCAATCACAATCACCTTTACATACAGCCTTCCTTTACCAAGTATTGCCAGGTAATATTGTGAGCATGAAACCCAGGGTGGGGTCGGTGCATCTTTGGCTGACTGTACAAAGAGAGATGTAATTAAGGAAGAAAACAATAATTTTGTTGTTGTTTGAAATGTTCCTAAGTCTTCAGCTAAACATTTATAACCCTCAATGTATTGTATTTCTTTTTATTTTAGACAATGAAAAGAAGAAGAAGAAACGTGCAAATTGGAGTATCATGAATTGTCTGTCGTCGGTGGCAACATGGATAAGTTATTTCTTCATTGCTCTTACCTTCCCCATCACGCTGTGGTTCTGCTTCAAGAAAATCGCCCAGTGGGAACGTCTTATTGTGTTCCGCCTTGGCAGGCTACGAGGTGCTTTGGGGCCTGGCATGGTATTCATAATTCCATGGCTAGATCACCATACTCGTGTTGACATGAGAACCAAGGCTTTCTCGGTGCCCCCACAACAGGTAAATAGTTTAAGTATAGTACTGTACAGGGTATTTTGTTTTATTATACAGAAGGCTGCATACCTGGACCCCATAAATTCTTTCATATCCCTGAAAATTCATTTCAGGAAGAATACAGTAAAATAGTTTTAAAGCTAATAAATGATTTTCTTCCTTTACAACCTATGCAAGCAATCTGTGTCCCTCCAAAATCCACCAAAAGCCAAGGGTGATACACAAAATATACCATGAACACAGCAAACATAGTAGTGATGGGTAGGGTAGTGGAATGTGTGAAGAAATGCTGGGATGTTCATCAAGCTGTTGCATTTGAATTTTACAATTTAATCTCCGGGGGGCCGGTGGTAGAAGCGGTATCGCTCTTGCCTCGCAAGCAAGATGTCACGGGTTCGATTCCCGGGCCGGTGGAAGTTGTTTGGACACTCTTCCTAGCCCCCATTAGTCCCTGTTCACCTATCAGTAAAGTAGGTATCTGTTGTAAGTCGAAAGTTGCGAATTCGTATTCAGGGACAAGTTGTTGGAGCTTCCAATAACTTGGTGACATAAACCATTGACTCTTCAGGCTTCTACGCCCTTGACTCTTCAGGCTTCTACGCCCTTAACTCATGAGACATAAAGGCAAGTATGAACTTAGCATGCTTCCCTGTTGGGCGCTGTAAAAGCTTCTGCGCTTCACCTTACACAAGGATGTAGGGGGGTGCCCAATAAATAAAAAAAAAAAAAATTAATGTCCAGTAATTGTGAGTTAAAGATCCAGGCTCCAGACATACAATCATTTAATTGAATTTAAGCAAACCAAATCTATTTCAAAGAGCATATTGTATTTTCCATAATTCAGTGAGATGTGGTGAAATTTGGAGGAAACGAATTTGAGTGGCCAAAATATGGAGGTGGTCTGAGATTACAGGTGGTTTGATTGACAAGTTTCACTGTAAGTTTGTAATTATTTGGTTATTTATGAAATAGTAACTAGTTTTGTTATAGGTTGGATACTGCAGATGAAGGATTTGGTTTTAATCGAGGAGGTTGAATGGATGGAGGTGGCACTCGCTGCCTCAAGCGAAGTCACTGAGTGTGACTGATGCCTTTACCAATATGGCGGTGCTTTTCTCTCAGTGACGTCATCCTCCTTGGTTGATCCCTCTATAAATGTGCATAATAAATAAAACAATAGTATAAATCCTGCAGAGTTGTCTGTAACCAATGTTGTTCGTAAGTAGCTGCTGCAACTGTGGCCTTGTTGCTCTGACCAAGATGGCAGCCTGGCTTCACGCTCCTCTGTTGCATACACAGCGAACACTGCCTCCATCCGTTCAACCTCCTTGATTTTAATTATACACATCAGTGAGTTGTCATCTTGGAACCCAGCTTCTAAGGATAAACTATTTCTGGGGTTATTAGAGGTAGCACTCGGTAAACAAGTTCAACATTACTACAATTTTTTGCTCTTTGACTTCTACTTCCAGCTCATTACAGCTGATAATGGGATAATTGAGATGGGCTGTGAGGTGAAGTATCGGATCAGTGATGTACAGCGACTGACCACCTCTGTCACCTCTCCTGAACATGGCTTACGCTCATTTGGAAAAACAGTGATGTTGAATGTTCTTACCAAGAATACTGTCAGGTAAGAATTCCTACTTCATTATGGTATTTACCATTATTGATACTTTGATTGTAAATACTTATTATACTTATTATAATGGGAAAAAGGCTTTCAAGATTGAAAATATTACATAGGGATCTTATTTTAGCTCAATTCTCAAACTTATAACCTATAACTATATGTGTTGCCATCCTGCCAGCTGTAGTAATGTGTATTAATTTAAGATTTATTTACAAGCATATTACAAGCCCTGATCAACTCCTTATTGGTTTTACAGAGAGACTGAACGGGATCGTCCCATGATCGCTGCTCAGATACAGAAGGAGCTAAATCTAAGAGTGCTGGAATGGGGTATTGAAATTGGAGAAGTGACACTGTAAGTATCGTCTGTGTTTTCTCTAATCATGGTATTAAAGGTATACATACTGTTCAGATATGTTGTAGGTCAGTGTGTATGCACACAGCAAGAAAAGTATCTTACAGCTGAATATGATGGATTTCAGAATGAGCATAATGGCCCTTGTCATATTGGAAGGGTTAGTATGCTTGATTGCAAAGTGCATTTCTTAATGATGTCATACTAGTAATTGTACTCCTCTTTATGTTACCTTTAGAATGAAATAAATAAGTTTCAATAGAGCCTCTTGAAATCTAGACACCACAGTTTAATTTGTTTTGTCCACATTTAGAAACATCCAATGCAGGAGATAAGTTGCCATATAGGAATACCTATAGCATTTGAGAATGAAAGGAGGTTAGTTTCCACAATGGAATATAGCATATGAAATGAGGTGTGGCTCCAATGAAATACAGGTAGTTAATACATTACAGTTGTATTTGTTTAACTGTAATGCAGACTCACAGACTCTTGTTCATCCAACACCTGACTGAACACAGTGTTTTTGACGCATCACAACATGACTTCAAGGAAAGAAAATCCTGTCTGACAAACATAATCATGCTCTTTGAAATGGTAACAGCCTACATGGATCAAGGCTCACCATTGAATGTGTTGCACAGAACATGGATTTCTCCAAGGCATTTGACAAAGTCCCACACTCACAACTAGTCTCTTAAGATCCAGGCATATGGCATCGTAGACAAGATTTTGAAGTGGATTAACAACTGGCTCAAAAACAGTCAATAAAGAGTGGTAATAAATGGAGTACATTCTTAATGGAAAAAAGTTCAAATTGGAGCATCACAAGGCTCTGTTTGTTTGTGATTTACATAAATGACATAGATGAAAATAGTTTGCAGATGACACGAAGATGTTTTGGGAAGGTAGCAAGTCAAAATGATGTCACAACACTGCAGAAAGACCTGCATGAGCTGTTCAAATGGTCTTGAGACTGGCAAATGCTCTTCAATATTACTAAATACAAGACAAGTGATTTGGGTGTGATTGGATTGAGCAAATGTACATCAATACAGTTGTACCCCACTTAACGTGGTCAATAGAACCCAGAGGGTCCCGTGTTAAGTGAAATCCGCGTTAAGTGAACAACAGAACATATGGGATTAATTCCAATAGAAACTGGCCCGACCCCCAAACTCCACTTTTTGAAGACACATAACTATGTTGTAGTAAAAATAACATCTTAATTTTATGATGGTACATGCACACAATTAATACTTAAGAGAAATAGAGAAATACAGTCGCCAAGTTAATGTCCATTATAATAATGGACTCAACTCCCTCCCCCTCTCACACTACACTGCCGGCTCTTCCCTCTCTGAGAAATTTTTGGGGGAAAACCACTAAATTTTAATAAATAATACCTCAAACTAAAGTTAGGATAATACAATTGACATTGCTGGATTCCTTGTAAGACCAGGAATATTTTGAATATAAATGTCATATATTTTGCACAAAAGATAACATAGTTACCCAGAGAAAAAATTTTATCTAAAATTTGTATGTCTAATGCAAAATATATGATGTTTATATTCAAAATGATCACCAAATTATAAGAATTCCAGCAATGTAAATTATATTCTGACCGGGTAATTTGTATGAATTTTATGAGCTAAAACAAATATCTTCAGTTAATAAAAAAAAAATAATCTTCACGACACTATCTGTCAATCAAAGTACCCCACCTTGCCTCCCCCCTCTTCCAACCGCGCGGTCAGTCCCAACCCTCCCCCCCACCCCCCACCAATCCTCCCTTCAAGAGATGTGGGGTGAAAAAAATAAATTTTAACATTTTGTATTAAATAATACCTCAGATTAAAGTTAGGATAATATAATTGACATTGCTGGATTCCTTGTAAGACCAGGAATATTTTGAATATAAATGTCATATATTTTGCACAAAAGATAACATATTTACTCAGAAAACATTTTATCTAAAATTTGTATGTCTAATGCAAAATATATGATGTTTATATTCAAAATGATCATCAAATTATAAGAATTCCAGCAATGTAAATTATATTCTGACCGGGTAATTTGTATGAATTTTATGAGCTAAAACAAATATCTTCAGTTAATAAAAAAAAAAAAATATTCTTCACAGGGTAACAGATGGTCGGTCGGTCCCTCCCTCCCCCCCACCCCCCACCAACCGTCCCAAGGAGATGTGTCGGAAAACCAGAATACTTAACTTTTTTGTAATAAATTATACCTCAAACTAAAGTTAGGATAATATAATTGACATTGCTGGATTCCTTGTAAGACCAGGAATATTTTGAATATAAATGTCATATATTTTGCACAAAAGATAACATAGTTACCCAGAGAAAAAATTTTATCTAAAATTTGTATGTCTAATGCAAAATATATGATGTTTATACTCAAAATGATCACCAAATTATAAGAATTCCAGCAATGTAAATTATATTCTGGCCGGGTAATTTGTATGAATTTTATGAGCTAAAACAGGCAGTCAGGCAGGGTGGCGGGTGGGGCAAATCTAAAAATAGCGTCTCGAGCCGGACACTCACCGCGTATATGTGGAAAAAATCCGTGTTAAGTGAAAGTTCAGCTCTGGCGAGGCATTGCGTATATGATAAAACGCGTTAAGTGAAACCGCGTTAGGCGGGGTAATACTGTATTCTTAACAGGATACTGTACTTGGAATAGATGATAAAACTGGAGTTAATCATGGAGGAACAAGGATGTTTTGGCATCCATAAGTCATATAGCAACATGTGTGTGTTTTTGTCTCTCTGTAAATCACTAGAGTCACATTCTGATGGACACCCTAATGCTTGGACAAGGTAAAGCTGTAGTTAACCTTTGTACTAAAGGGGCATAAATTCTAGTTAGCTGTATTAAGTAGTATGAAAAGTGCAGTGTAGTATGAATTGGGGTGTAACAGGGCATTACAAAGAGTTGTTAATCAAAGGATTGGTGATTGACACAAAACAATCTTAAATTGGAAATTTATGTCCAGATAATAATGTGGGGGGAATAGATGAGATTTGTAAATACCTCCTGGATACCAGTAGCTCAGTTTCTCCATTGCATATTTCTTTTCAGGTTAGACCAGTTGACTTTACTTGAAATATAGGACTGATCTGGCAAATACAAAATAAGGCTGCCAGTCAGCCATGATACTTTAGGAATAATGCACAGGGCCTGTTGCTTTTGTAAATCCTTGGTAATGTAACATTGATTCCAAAAATACATAAAACATAAATTGCAATTTTGTAGGTAATCAGAGTCAGGAGTGTTATCATGCAATGGCTAACTACTGTATGTTATATAAAAAAAATATATATGAGAAGCAGTTTTCTAGATTCATGGTTGTTGTTCTTGTACAAATGATTATCTTAATACTGTACCGGTATATCATGCAAATTTTGCTTTAATTATTTATACTGTACAGTTTTGTACTTTCATTTTTTGACTATTACAAACACAGTACAGTACAGTACTGTACTTTCTTTTCTTTTCTTTCTCCTTTGCACTCCCTGTGTTTATAAATACCCCTGTGCAGTAATTGTAAACATCTATACTTAAGTACAGATGCTTACAATTATGCTGTTAAGATTTTTCTCAATGAATAATTTCTCCAAATGTAAATCACCTTTTCAGTTAATTATATAGTGTACAGACCTATAGTACACTTCCATAATCCTTTAAATATGATGTCTGAACCCTTTGATTTTGATATGTTCCCAGGATTAATAAGTCCTTCAAACATATTTCTCATGTAATAATTTCCTTTGTCACATGACTGTGGTAAATGATATAATTCTTATTTAGGAGTACCGTCAATATCCTGAAGGAAGCAGAGCCCAACAACCCACTGAAGCCCATCATGAACTGTTTTGGTGGCGGAGGAGGAGAGATCATGGCTCCACCTTTATCAGCCACTTCCGCAACAGGATCGGCAGTTTTCAATATCCCTGGCATTGGCAGCATGGGAGACTTCAGCTTCCTCAGTGGCAATTCGAAAAAGAAATCTGAGGCCATTGGTAAGTACCATTAGTGAGATAAAATATTTACTGAATTTCTAGTGACTTCAGGTATGATATTTACCCCTTATAAGAGTTTTAAGTATTTTATCATATCTCAATATTCTTTACAATTTAATTGGCTCAGCTTTCATTCTGCTTGAACAGTTTACAGTTAGTCTTGCATTAACTGTCATCCTGTAGTGTTACAGGAGTTAACTGGCTATGTTTTAGTTGTGCTTTAACTTTACAATAGAGAAGATACAGAACTTGTAAATATTTTCCTAGAAAAAAAGATTTGTTTCAAAATTTGAAGAGATCACCATATCCAGTATCAGTTAAACTATTTACTTGAGGAATTACTGTTGTTTCTTTATTAATTTATTCAGTACACATTGTATAGGATGTAGGCAGATTTTTGTTTTATTAGAAATTTGTCTAAAACTATAGCTATAAGGATAATGTTTCTATTCAATGTTTAAATTTATCTCATTTGATCTTTAGCTTTGATTTATTTTTTTGCTTAATTCAGTTTAATAATTATATTCTTCAGTTTCTTCCCATATTTTACCTTCAGTTTTATACACTGTACATATTACAGTATTGTGTTTTAACATTGCTTATGTATTAGAAGGCATCAAATGAACACCATTATTGCTAAACATTACTGCTGTTTTTTTTTTCAAATACTGTACTTTAAAACAAAAAATGCCCCAATTGATTTTTAGTAGTGCAGTAATTTATTGAATTTGGGTGGTTATGTTATTTGAAAACTGTTACTCTACACTGAGAGGAAGGTAATCTCTATATGTATTGTAAGCTTGCATAAGAATGACAGTCACACTTAATTAACGCACTTATCGAACTTTGTTGTTGGCACATATGTTGAGTTTGTGTACAGATACTTAGTCTTTGTGTGTTCCATTTCATTATTTGTCCCTGAAATTACTGATTATTAAATAAGTAGTAGAGCTTTGCTTTATTGATATACAAGTATCCCTTGCATTATATGTAAGTAGGTTAAGTAAAAGTTTGGATGTAGTACCAAAAATTTACTTTTATAAGTAAATAGTTATCTGCAGTGGGTATACTGTACTGTACTTATTCTATGTAAAGAGGGGTCAATACAATAAAAGATGCAAGCATAGCAGCTTCTGATGAGGTGTACAGTATTGTCAAACTAGTATATGTAGTCCCTCTCATATTTAGTACACTACATGGTAAACCAACATGATAGAAATACAGGCTTACAGTAATTAGAAGAACAGAACAGTACTTATCATGTGTCATCTGTAAATTTGAATAAAAATCTTTGAACTCGTGAAATTTAACTGATTTTATTAATTTTGAGGTACTGTACAGTAAGTCCTCGTATAACGTCGGCCCGCTTAACGTTGTTTCGGTACTATGTTGCTAATCTTTAGATACCAAAAATTCGTTTAACGTCCTGATGACTCAGTAGAACGTCGTTTTGCTTCATCACGAACTACTTTTTATGCCGCATCCAGGAACGTCACAACATCCCCAAGCGAAACCAAACCAGTCTCTGTTAGCCTTCCACAGCGTTCTTGCGTATTTAAGTGTTTTTGCTCTTAATACTGTACTCTAACAATTCGAAATGGCTTCCAAGTGCCCATCAAGTGCTACTGATGCTAGTGTTGTGAAGAAGCAACCTAAGACCATTAGCCTTGCTACGAAAATGGAGGATTTAAACCGGGAGGAGGAGACACCCGTCGGGTCTCAGTGACTCGCCACCCTCCTCCTCCTCTCCTGCCCTCCTCCTCCGCTCCACCACCTCCATCCATCAGTGAGTACTATACAAAATGATTTAGTTTATTTATATATACAGTCAACCCTCGCTTTACGTGGTCCCACTTTACGCGTTTCCACGTTTACGCGGTACCCTGCCGAAACCGGAATGCTCACTTTCCGCGGTGCGTGTACCCCTTTATGTGGAGAGCGGCTGGCGGTCTTCTCGCGCCGCGCCATTTTTGGATCCAAACCTCCCGCCATCCGCCATGTTGTGTAAGCGGCGCGAGTAGGTTGCGCAGTGTATGTCTTTGTTGCGTTATCGGTGACGTCATATGATGTAGCGGACTGTGATTGGGCAAAGCATCCTTACCTCCCTCCCTGCTAGCTGTGATTGGTTTAATGTAGTACTATGACATGACGTGCCCTGCCGCGTGAGCGTTCAAGCCCTTCGACCTACCGCGTCAGTTACACCCCTCCAGGCTACACCGTGTATATCAGTATCCATTGTTCTATAAGAATGGCTTCCACCGGACCACCACCACAAAGAAACCTTGCATTACCTGGACCCAGCCGCCCTAAGCCAAAGAAGACACGACGTTCCTTAAGCTACGAAATTAAATATAAGATCATACAAGAGTTGGAGAAAGGAACAAGACAGGTTGATCTTGCTCGCCAGCATGGTGTTAACGAGTCTACAATCAGGACAATTAAGAAGGATGCAGCCAAGATAAAGGAGCACATGAACAGGTGCTTCTATGATCAAGTATTGCCACAACCAGGTGCTTCTCAAGACAGAAAAATTACTTGTGAGCTACTTGGTGCGTCAGGCGCGACGAAACATGGCGGTGGACACGCTATCAGTTAAGGAGTACGCACGTAAACTGTATGCTGCAGTGTCACGAAAGATGGGAATTACAGAGCCCAAACCCTTTAATGATTCCTCTGGGTGGTTACAGAGGTTTAAGAAGAGAAACAAGATCACCAATATCAACATTGGTGGTGAAGAAGCTAGTGCTGACCGTGTTGCGGCTAGGGAATTTCCTCCGTTTTTACGTGAGATTATGGAGGAAGGACAGTACACCGACGACCAAGTGTTTAACATGGACGAATCTGGTCTTTTTTGGAAAAAGCTACCTTCCAAGACCTTCTTTGTGAAGAATGCCAGCAAGTGTCGGGGCCGGAAGTTGCAGAAGGAGCGCATCACCGTCCTGTTTACCACCAATGCCTCCGGTACCTGTAAGCTCAAGTTATTGGTGATCCACACAGCACGCAAGCCGCATGCCTACAAGAGCATGGACATGACCAAGCTAAATGTCCACTGGCTGACCGCACGTAAGGCGTGGATGTTCTCTACACTCCCCCTCTCCTGGTTTGATGACTGTTTCGTTCCCGATGTGAAGAAATTCTGTGAGCAACATAATGTGCCATTCAAGATTTTGTTGCTGCTGGACAATGCACCAGGACACTCGCCCCTACTGTTAGATCGTCACCCCAACGTAAAAGTGGTCTTCCTTCCTCCCAACACTACGTCTATATTACAGCCCATGGACCAAGAATTGATCTGTAATGTAAAAGCTGCATTCTCTGCTAAAAAATTCAACCTCCTGAACGACTACACCAACACCAAGGAAGAGTTGCGTAACCTGAGTGACATCAACACCGATAGCAAGAGCGAAGACGATGAGAATCAATAGTTGGCAGAGCAAGAAGTACTTTTAAAACAATTCTGGAGAACATTCAACGTCAAGAAAGCTGTGGATTTCTTGGTGGAGACATGGGATCAGCTGTCTGTAGCAACTGTTCGTCACGCATGGAGACATGTGTTGCAAGGCATTCCGGGTGTTAGGCAGAGTAAATCTGTGACTGGTGAGGTTCAGACTGTTGCAGTAGCAGTGGACCTTGCCAGAGAAGCTGCACAGAGTGGTACAGTTGCAGGCTTCTCCGAGACCACCAACGACGACATCCTGGAGGTGATAAGGGATCCTGTTGTGACTACCGTCGAGATGGTAGATGATGATGACGTCAGTGAAGAGGCAGGTGGTGCGTCATCCCAAGAAGAATGCCGCTTATCCCATAGTAATGTTAGGGGTGCAATCGAGTGTATTGAGAAAGTCAAGCTCCTCCTTTCCGACGACCCTGACGCAAACAGGTATGAAATCTTCACAACCCAGCTGTTGCGGACTATGGAGCCCTACATTAAGGTTTATCACGACAACATAAACACCAGCCGTCAGCAAAGCATAACAGAGTTCTTCGCCCGCAACCCACCACAACCAGCCCAAGCCAGTGATAGTGACAGAGGCAGAGACAGTGATGATGACTTTGAGGGATTTGTCAGGGAGGCACTAGTAAGTGTGGATGACACCGATGAAGACTCACCTGAGGGCCAGTAGCCTGCCCTCTGCCTCGGAACCAGCCTCCATTCCCCTACGCCGACCCATCTCTTCTACTAACGTTAGTGTTAACCCCAACCTTGTTTTTTTCTAACCTAACCTTCAGTTTATTCTTCTCTTATTGACTGTTCCCTTCTATATTATGTGTGGGTGAATACCATCATAAAGTTAAGATGTTATTTTTAGTAAAACGTACGTATTGTGTCGGGAAAAAGTGGAGTTTGGGGGTCGGCCCGGTCTCTATTTCAATTAATCCCATATGTAATGTTGTTCACTTTATGCGGGCCGCCGTGGGTTGAATTAACTGCGTAAAGTGAGGGTTCACTGTATACTATTTTCTATAAAAATTCCATTGAATTTCTGGATATGTAATGTATTTCATGGGACAAAGGGAGGCTCAGGAACGTAACTCCCATATATTATCTATTTGTTATAGGGAAAATTTATCTGCTTAACGTTGTTTCGTATGACGTCGAGTTTTCAGGAACATAACCCCGACATTAGCGAGGACTTACTGTATTATTGGTATATATTTTACTGTGGTGCTAAAAAATTCAAACATGGTGGAATGAAAATCGAGTGTGGAAGACTCACATGCTTAAACCCCTTAATGTCAGTGACAAAAGTTGAATGATAAATACTTTCATATAAATATAAATCTTTAAGCGGTCAATTAAACCCGTGGAGGTCTGCGTAAAATGAGAAACGCGTAAACGAAATAACAGAACATATGGGATTAATTGAAATAGAGACTGGTCTGACCCCCAGACTACCCTTTTTCCTACACAGTAAGCACGTTGTAGTAAAAATAACATCTTAATTTTATGATGGTATGCACACACAATTAATATTTAAGAGAGATATCAATAATATTAGGTTTTTTAACACTTACATTAGTAGAAGAGATGGCTGGGCACACGAGGATGGGGGGTTGGTTCCGAGGCAGAGGGCAGATTATTGGCCCTCACCTGTATTACTTGTATCACCTGTATCACCTGTATCACCTGTATCACCACAGAGGCTTGCAGGGCCTCTTTGTCAAACCCCTCAAAGTCCATATCCTCACTATCTCCATCACTGACTTGGGCTGGCTGTGGCGGGTGGCGGGTGAAGAACTCGGTAATGTTTTGTTGACTGGGCGAACTTGTGCGCACCCTGCCCGCGCCGCTTTCCGCGTAAATGATGGAATGTACCGCGTAACTAATAATTGCCGGTCTGGCCTGGTGCCATGTAAATGACCAAATGCGTAAGGGAAATCCGCGTAAATCGAGACTATACTGTACACTAGTTGGTCTCTGAGTCAAACCGCTATGTATACAGTACATGTTCACCACACAATTGAAATATACCTGTAATTATAATCTTCATCATCATCAATGTTTTGTGGCCATAATCCTTTTTGGAAGTTGCATATTTGTATTTTCTTATATTGTTTCCCAGCTTTATTGAGTCAGTGGAAGAGGAAGGTGACCAGTTTTCTATGAGTTCATTTTAATACAGCCAGCAGGAGAATTAAGTAAAGGAAAGGGAGCAAATAGTATCAATGGAGTACTGTACAACAAAATATAGGGTGGTATACTCTTTTACAGATTACATGGTTGACTAAATACAGTATTTAATACATAATGCACCGATTGATAAGTATTATACATAATAAGTATTTTTATCTTCTTATATATGTACAGTAGTTTATTTGCATTGATGTTTAGTTATATCTTCAAACACTCATGACAGGTTTCCTCATATCATTCCCAACAGGTTTTCCAAGTCTTGTGGTAGTGAATTTTTATGAAATTTTCATTAGATACTCAAGAACAGATACAGTAGTTAAAAAATCTATTCCTACTGGAGTATGCAGTAGTATTAATTGTTGTTGATAGCATGATGTTTGAGGTTGTTATTCCACATTGCACATTTAGCTAGTTTTACTCTTGTGCTTGTTATATTTAGAAAGAATTCTTTATGTGTATAAACATGCCAGCACGCTTAGTGCACCTGTTTAATCCTTTGTTAAGGTCCTTTATGTTATTACACAGCTCTCAGCTTATTACACCTGTTTAGTCTAACTTTTTAGTTCCCTTATGACTCTCATAAATTTCATCGTTACCTTTGTCTACTACACAATAACCACAACAACAAGATGTCTGGATGCATCACTCCAGCATCCCAGTAATTTTTTTTATTTTTAATGACAGTGTGAGAGCCTCACATATGGGTATTAATTCAGCAGGTAAAGTCTACTTTTAAGTTCAATTATTTTCTTTTGTTTATTATTTATATATATATCTTCCATTTTATGATTATTACAGATGAAGATTCATTCATGAGGTGTATCCAGCAATACTATACAGGTATTGAACCCTTTTAGGAAATAATGTTTGATTGGCTTTCTCTTCTCTATAACCATTGGTAAATACTAACAGGAAAATACTCAAGTATCTGCAAAAAACAATAACAGTACTGTACTAACTTAGAGTGTAACCCTTAGTAGGTTAATCAGAAAAAATGGGGGGAACCCTAACAAGCTATAGGCTTTCTTTCCTCAAACTAGGTGACTATTAGATACTCTTAGAAGCTACTAGGTAGATAAGGTGAAAGTTATAGTTTAAACTAGTTTCACATGAGCAACCAATGTTACATTTGAGTTGATTCTTTGGCTAGAAAATGAGTAGGGTTGTTCTACAAACTTTTCTCTCGCACCATTTGTATTAAGCTGCCTTAGAATCCATGGTACTAAGGGGGTGTGCTTTTCTAGGTCTTCCACATTCTGCCAACAGTTATACTCATGGGCTGTGGCCTTGTAGTGGGAATATTGCTTTATAGGCTTAGATAACTACAGTACTGTCATGAAGCACTATGGGGGAGAAAAGTACCAGCACTTGTGAAAGAAATTATTTGCAGGTTAAAACACAGTGAAAAATGATAGATGTAAAAAATAAAAGATTTTTTTAGATACTGTATGTTTCCTTGGGTGATATTACCTAACCTGTAAAAGTAGAATTATGCTTCATTTGAGAAATTTACATCACTATGATGACGTTTACAACTCTTAATGTTGATATAACCAGTTCAAAACAAGACACATTTTATAATTACTGTACATAATGAATGTTTATAATTTTATAATGCTGTCTGGAAACATGAAAATTGTATTAGTAAGATGTCATTCTTATATATACTGTATGGTATATAAAACTTTAAATGAGTCAATTGAAGCAGTCACCTTGGTCCTTTGGTTTTTTTTAATACCTGTACCTACCCTTTGTACATATTGTGTTGACATACAATATTTTTCCTCGACAGAAATGAGGAATATGATCATCAGGATTCTAATGACTTGGAACCTTAACAGTATAATCCAGCACTGTAGCATTTAGGTTACTCATTGCTTTGTGATGTTAATGATTCTATACCCTGTAATGTCGAGGGAAAAATATTTTCTGACACTTATGTATTGGTAGTCATTTCTTGAATACAGTATACAATATAACTAGGTTATTTATTCTTAATATGAGTTATTGATTTTAATTTCTGAAGTTAAACAGACAAAATGTATAGCATTTAAAGCATGCTTTTTATTTCTTTTCACATGAAATTTTTTTTTGTATAGCATTTTATTTCTTAGATAAACAAGAATTTTCCAGTTACCCCTGTAATATATTATTTCCAAATCCATGAATAAAAACAAAAAAAAAGTGTTGTTATACTTCTATATATTATTCATTTATTGCTTCATAGTTGTCTTGATTTGCCTCCTCTCCTTTAGCCTGTTATTGTTTGGCATTTTGACCTCGCACGCTCCTTGGTGTGCGTGCTAGGGGGTTTCCTGCCTGGGTATCACTTCTTAATACCCCCCATGTCTCCGCCACACAGATCTACTGGGTTTCTCAGACGAGAATAGTGAGCCACCTAAGCAGCTAAACAATCAAGGTATTCCTGACTGAACGACTCTGGATTTTTCACTGCATGTATGGGATGAATGATGATTCTTTGACATAAATTTGCTTAACTATCAATACACTATTGCAGATCCTTATATCTCTGCTCATTATTATAAATAGGAGTAAGACGGGATTGATTTTTTTTTGCGTAAATTTGATTGCATGAATCTTTTAACGAGAATTTAGTTCTGTTTATGACTCATTTACTTACACAGTACATAACATTCTTTTCATTATTCATTTGCAGTTTTATTTTCTGTCTAAGTTAAGGTGAACTATGAATAATTTGTTATAGCTTTACTAATCTCTACACACTGACTCACTCGCATTATTAATTTTTGTCTCTTAACAGTCACTTTCTTTATCCACCCAACATCACCCACCTTAGTTGTATTTATTCTTTCTCAAACATTCTTGCTGTACTTAATCCTTTTTCTGCATTTAGGTCACCTTTTTTTTCTTCCTAAATATGAACCCATCTGACTTTTATTTTATTTTAACATTACTTTGAATTGTGAGTGGTTAGAGACATGGCCTTTGATATCAGTCTCAGGATCAAGCAGTGTCTGTAAAGTCAAGAAACTACACCGTTGTCACCTCACTCAACCATGGTATGAATTGTATTTGGCTGGTCTAGGGAAGGTAAACCGCAGGCCCCAAGTTGCACCGACTCTAATTCTAAGGCATGTGGATTTGTACAGTGTGAGCTAATGAGTGAAGGAAATGGAGATAGCAGCATGTTGCCTGACCTTTGCCTTTTATTGAGTTCAGTATTTATAGAGTTCATATAGTCTGTTGCTGGTACTAGGTCTGATTCCTTTATATACGTATATTTATTAATAACCGTTTTGTACGTGTATTGTATCCACAGAATTTTGGTATTTTTAAATCTTGGTAAGTAATATTAAGCAAATGAATAAGTCGAACAGGAAGGTCTTACAGGAATAGGTAACCAGAAATTTGTTGAAAATTCTCAAGATTTTCTTAAGTGGAAGTTGGTACATCTATTGTATTTAAAGGACTCTGTGTTGTTAACTTATTCTAAGGATAAGTTTATTGAAAAGTACTCTACAGTATTTTACTTGAGTTTATGGGAGAAAAACGTTTATGGTAAAATGCATAGTTGTGTGGTTGAGAGGAAAGAGCAGTGTATGTGATGTTATTATGAATAGAGAAGAGTGGATGTTGTGAATGAAGATAAGTGCTTAATACATACAGTACAGTATACTGTATATTGAGTAGGATTAAAAGCCATATGGTATACTAAGGTTTGCTTCTTAACTATTAAATCATATACAGGTAGTCCCTGAGTTATGAATGGGTTATGTTCCTAGACCATATTCATAAGTTGATATGTTCGCAAGTCAGAACAGTGTTATTTCCATAGGTTAGCTTAAAGCACAACCCTGCCCATACCAAACAACATTAATAGCACATACATAACAAATGATGTAAATACTGTAAGTAAAGTGATGTTAAACATTATAAAGTAATGTAAAAAATTAGATTTTAGTTATGGAATTTTGTGATGAATATATTGGGATGCCATTCGTAAGTGCCTGTGTTCGTAAGTCGTGCATTTGTAACTCGGGGACTGCCAATACAAATTTTCACTCAGTATATTTATAATCGGCTGCAGTTATGTATCATAGCAATCAGCAGCTACAATTATTGTTTATAAATATTTCAGAGCCACCAGAATCTTTGTTGATGAGGAGTATTTTTTTTTTCTGTAGGTACCTAAATCTTATTTCTTGTGTGATTATTGTTTTAGCAAGTGCTACAAGTGTGCATCCTCTTCCTTGGTAAAATATGTTTGAATCATTTCTGCCTGTGCATTGTTCACTCGAGGGATTTCCCTAGAGGAGGTGGCCTGGGCAGAAATTCCTCTTAGGTCCTCTATCTAAATATATACCTCTCCATCCTGCTACATGACACCGACATCACCACAAATCATTTCTCGTTAGAAAAAGACCAAGTGACTCAAGTTAATGCTGTGTGTACTGAACTGTACTGTACTGTACTGTACTGTACTGTACTGTACTGTACTGTACTGTACTGTACTGTACTGTACTGTACTGTACTGTACTGTACTGTACCTATTGATAAAACTCACTCTCAATTGTATCTCTTATCGCTCCCCAACAAAGATGTTCTTTCCTTTTGCAAAACTACATTTCCAAAATTAAAAAAAATCTTTTGTATGATGTGAATTTTTTTTCTCCAATACTACTACAGATTAGGCAGGAGAGTCTTCACGTGTGTGTTGTTTATATTGATGATGAATATTATCTATTGTACTGTATACAGTATATTGCCTTACTAAAATTTAGAGTTCTTGCAATTTTAATATTTTTAAATTACTGTAGTATTAGTTTTTCTTTCACTTGCACATAATATTTTCATTAGAACTTACAGTTTTTACCTATTAAAATTTTATGTTTCACTAACAAAGGCTCATTTTTATTTCCACCTTTTACTGCTTCAATTGATTACAGTGATTCCATATAGGATATATATTTTTCTTGGCAAAAAATTTTACGTTATGAGGTTTATTTATGCAGAATGTTGGGTTGAAAGCTCAAAATGGTATTTCTTCTTTGTAGTAACCAGCAGCCGATCACCACAGTCCAAGCTTGGGAAGCATCTCCAGGGTCTTATTACTGGTGCAGGAGGTGCTGATTTGGCCCATGGGATATACAGACTACAGGTGGAGGGGACGGATGGTGGCATCTTCATCATATTTGTTGGAAATGGCAAGTGAATTTTGAGTACAGTATATTGTTACTTTGAGTTTTGTCTGTAACTTTGCTGTTTCATATTCTAGACTTGTAAAACCCATCCCAGTGCATTTTGCTTAGATAATGACATTTGATATTAGTAGACATCAGTCTTCTCTATACTTTTTACATTTTCATTTACAAACCTCCTCATACTATCGTGCGTGATCTTTGCTCTTTTTTTTTTTTTTTACCCAACTTCCACTGACATGATACGTATCCAAGTAGATATTGGGAAAATCTACACTACAAATATGTAAGCTTTTTAAGTAATTGGATGTAATGAATCATTTGGATATAAGACATCTCAAGTACCAGGAATATTCAGTATATGTCTGTATGATCCTGCCATGTATCCCACTTCAATGTCCCTTGTTTCTTTTTAACACATTTGGCCTGGAGAACCAAGTAACCTTATGGCAAGGTGCACAGTTTGTCTACCTCTTTTTGTGTTTGCCTCTCTTGTTTGTTTTGTTTCAACTTCATTAAAGGATGTCTCAGAACCACTGGGCCAATTACAATCAGAAATATTAATGGAGGATGAGAATGAATATGAATCCAATTAAAGTTGCTGGCTCTCATTGGTGACTGAGGGTTGGAGCCCTAAAAGGGCAAATGGGGAAAAATGATTACACATTCTCATAAACTACAGCATCAAATGAAAAGATATTTACTCTAGTGTGTGGAATTCCTGTAACATGGAGAAGTAAGGCTGTGCAAATGATGCCTTGTGGGGCACATAGGGAGAACATTTACTCGGTGAGTACATAGGCTCAGTGGGCTTCTTGCTTTTAATTTTTTGCCAGTTACAAATACATATCTTTTTTGTTCTTTCCCTTGTATTCTCTTTTCTGTGACAAAGTATGAATACAAGTATATATTTGTGTTGAACACTTGTCACTGATTACACTGTCATAATTGAAACTTATCATACACTTTGAAGAAAAACACAACATTAAATTGTTGTTATTTATAAGTTTTTGTTAATTCTTCGTTTAAAAGAGTTCACATCGTGTGAGGGTGGAAAGATGTGTTGAAAGAGAATTTCACTGACAAGATGCTAGGAATAAAAGATAATAATAAGCAGAATTTGTTTATAGTTGTTGTGCTTCTGGTGGTAGAGGATGTTTCTAGGTGTTGTGTTTCAACATTGTTTTGGTGAGATACCATGTACAGGGTCTGGACACACGGAAGTTTGTTCCTATGATGGCGAACGAAGAGCAGTACGTATTTCATTCTATAGACTCAACAAAGGGCACTTTGACTATCAGATGTTTTACTTCCACCATACCCTATGTTACCTGATGTGCCAGTTTAGTAACAGTACATGCTATTTCCAAGAATCAGCCTTGATTGTATCGTCTTCTTCCCATGGTTTTTTTAAACTTGGCTGATGAGCATATAGAATTTTTTCCTCTGTCACTGTTGCTTTTTCCATTTCTTTTGCCTTTATGAGCTGTTTACTTTGATTGCTCAATACTTCTTCCAGGAACCATAACTCTCCTTACTCTTTTTCACCCATGGAGAAAAACTGCAGTTTGAAGTGAAGATCGATCGCTTTTGCCACTTCATTCATGTGATTCTTTTAAGATGATGAGGCACTGACTATCACTGCCATGTGTAAGACTAATCAGTTACTGTAAATTTTTCTTTTAAGGATATAAAAATACCTAAAAGTACATGACTTCAATTGTTTTAAGTGAATTAAACTATTATTTCACTGTACTTTTAAAAATATATACGCAGAAACATTTGGTTTACTGTGTTCTGTAGAATGTCGATCAGTTTCATATTTAATGAAGAATGTTGCAACTTTAATTCATAATTATACTTACCTAAGTTAGGTTTTATTACCAATTGGAGTTGGTAGTCTTTTGAAAATGATTGATTATCTATTATTGGTACATAGTAATATTGCTTTTTAAATAATTTAATCATGCATTACTGTACTACATATGTGTACTGTATATGAAGGGCTAACTACGCGGTCAATTTTAAAATAATTTTATTACAGGTTGTACCTCTCTAGTCCAGCATTCTGTGGTCCGGAACGATTTTAGTTTGTCCAATAGGTAGATAGGCAACTTTTTTAACTTATCTGAATTATTATTATTATTACAGGAGTATTAAATTTGTGCTCCTCAGGCCCCAATGTGGGTCAGTGACCTATGCCCAGGTGGGCTAATCCCCTTAAAAAACAAAAAAAACAAAGCCGCGGGAAATTAAGGTTTGTTTACATCCGGCAGTTCGGCTGCTCTCTCTCTCTCTCTCTGCTTGTCTGTACAGAGTACAACATTTAACCCTTCAATATATATGATCAGTAAATAAGTGTTGCTTTCATATTCTTATGTAGAGTAATGACAATATATTTTCACATGTGCGCACTTACATACGAGCAGTCTCACTTTTTTTTTTTACCATTAATGGTTAGCTACTTATATTGTTCCATTTATTAACATTAAATAACATTACAGGTACTTCAAACAACCATATTAATTGTTTTACATTAATTTTACTACAGCTAAAATCAGGGTTTTATTTTCTTCAGTTTTATATGTAGAACCAGTCAGTCACTGGTTTTGTAATCAACGAAAACAATGCTGTGTCATTTCCTCATGTGTTTTAATATTCTATGTATTATTAATGAATTGTATTGCTCATTTTGCACACACAAACATTAATTCAATAAAAAAGACATTCAGTAATAGACAATAATGAATCTTTTGTACATAAGAGAATTGACGCTGTTTACGAGATTATGCACGTCGTCTGCACGTTGGCGGGCCGTTCAAACCCGTCGAAATTCAAGTTTCCGCCGTCAAAATTTTTATTTATTTATTTTTTTGTGTGTTCCAATAAAATACGTTAAGAATTTAAAACTCGCGAAATTTGAGAAGCTACTATACGACATTTAACCCTTCAATATGTCTTCAAAGAGACCATGATGCAGAGAAAGTGGTGCTAGTGCTTCCAAGCATAAGCACAAGTCACTATCTATCCAGGAAAAGGGTGAATTTCCATGGTCCGGCACCGGTCAGGTCCCGAGGTTGCCGGACTAGAGAGGTACAACCTGTATTTGCTTTAACCGTATTACGCAAATATCAAACTTTTTAATTTGTTTTTTACTTATTAAAATGGTGTGTAATATGTGTGCAAATAGGTAACAGAATAATTTGTGATGCTTTCAGAGAACAATGAAGAAATTTTGCCTCAAGTATACAGTAGTAGTGAAGATCAAGTGCTGGCATGAATTAAGCATTTTTAATCATTCAATATCCAGCTGGATATTTTTGTTATATCCGGGTTACCCAGTATTTGGCCGGATTGCAAAATCTGATATCCGGTGCACCCTAGTAGTTGACCAGGCCAGGGATTAAGTTACAAAAGAAGGACTGATCATGGTGTTACAGGTATACTGTATAACTGACTCTTGAGTTGCCCTTCCTCTTCCCAATAAATGGCACCAAGGGGAACCGGAACAGGAGATTGACCCATGAAATGACAGTCTGTAGCTAATTGAGATAAATCAGAGTTACAGAGTGCATGTGCTAGTGTAATGGCAAACATCTCAGCTTTCATCCTCAAGTGTTAAATTTCTTATTCATTCGGTATCTTTTGTAAGCACAAACGTATGACATGAAAGAATATATTTATTTACACTTTAGTCCAGTTACCAGCCGGAGGAAAAGTATTTCTTTATAATTTGCCCTTTGGCTATGCTGACAATAAATGAGTTACTTGATCCTGACTCTGTTATAAAATGAGATTTTAAGATCATTGCTTCACTTTTGTTAATATGCAAGGAGGAGGTAGATATTTTTATAAGTAATTATCACGGTTAAATAAAATTGGTATGTGAATAACAAATTGCAAAGAAAAAAAAATTATTTTTGTTTTACTATTATTTTTTTTGGCAGGAGTGCGTCAGGTGGTAGAAGGAGACTTGCCAAAGGTTACTCCAGATGTTGCAGTGACCATTGCAAAGAGTGATTTGATGGCCATTTTTGAAGGGACTCTTGCCCCTCTTCAGGCATATCTGTCAGGCCATCTGACAGTTCAGGGCAACGTGCAGATGCTTATGGGCCTTGAGTCTCTCCGCCAGGGTAATAAAGAGAGAGAGAAAGATGACATTTTCATTGTGTAATGAAATGATTTCTATTCAAAATTTTAAATATTGCAGACATAATATAAAATCAGTAGCTTGAACAAATACGACAAAAGCCTAATTTTCCTTTAGGAAAATGCTTCTTGCATGCCTAAATCATAATCCAAATATGACAGACTTTTCTTGGCATTTTTATTTCTTGTTTCAATATATGATGGGACATTAACATAGTACAGTGAAGACACCTATTTATCTATAAGGCACAATATTTATGAATTTAAAGAGATTGAGGTGTTTGCATGTCTTTCTTTTATATTGACTTTGCTATAGGTATAACTTGATTTTCATTACAGTATACTTTCAGTTGAAGCAATTTAGGTAGATTTTTTTATCTTCATATTTTTCAGTTTATATTATATTTTCCTTTGATATAGATTTTATTTGTCAGCTTCATGTACCGGTAGTTGCTTTGGAAAATTATTTTTTACTGTAATTACTTTCAAAATCTGTTAAAATAATTGAAGACATGAAAAGCAGGACATTGGTCTTTTATTATGAGATAAAATAATATTCCATTTTAGGTGATTACTTGAAAATAAGCTAAGTAAGAAAATTTATTATTATAAGACTAGTTATTTTATTGATGTATATTAAGTGAATATAATTATATTAACATTCCACACAAAGCAATGAGAGAGTTCAGTAATTTTATATAACCTCTGTATATTGTGAATAAAAGATAAAATGAAGGAGGCTTTAACTTCAGAGGAGGGAAATTTGAGATAAATATCTCTAGTTTTGTTAGAGTAAGACAGTAGGAATATGTTTTGACTAGGTCTTCCATCCTATTGGATAGTGGTAGACATTGTAATGCACATACCGTACTTGAGTAAATATAAGAAAAGAAGAAAAATCAAAGTACAATACACATGTGAGTGATACTTTAAATTAAACCTCCAGGGAAATGAAAAACAGGTGTTCCGAGTTCTTGACAATTTCAGCATCTCTTCAGGGATACTGAATATGACTTAAAATTTAATAGAAAGATTTTCCTCCTGTTTCCTCTTTCCGGACAAATTGTGTATATAACGAGCACAATCCGTTCTACAAGGTTGCTCGTTAACCGAAAAACTCGTTAAACGAAACCATTGTTTCAATGGGTTTTTGGGTAATTGGTTCCAGCTCACCGAAAATTGCCTAAATTCAACAAAAAGGGTAGAAAAGTACACTTACTTTGAGGTGTGTATATAGAGGGTTCCTGGATGATGATGATGATGATGGGAATTAGAATGGGGTTGGAGGGGAAGGGAGAAGAGAAGGCATTGGGGTGGAAGAGAAGTCGCCCCATGGCGCTATTTCACCCATAAAATTTTAGTTCGTTTGGTGTAATTCAAGATTATTTTCTTTAAATCAACACTGCACTGCATTATATATTGTCAATATGTAAAATAAATTTCAAAATGACCAATAATTTGCTTGGAAACACAGAAAAAAAGCGTTTAGTTGAAGAGAGTCTCAAGCAAGATGTTACCTCCATTGAAAAGAGAGAGAGAGACTAACGCCTGTTTGGTGTGTTGCCAGGCTGGATGGCGTGCCAGAAACTAGTTTCTTTACCTTCAATTATGTTCAATAATTGTTAAAATTACTAAAAAATTTAATATTAAACTTTTAAAATTATTGAATACTGTAAACTTCTTGATATTTACTAAAATGGTAAGGAATATAAGCCCTAGAACCGATTACTGTATTGGCGGACTAATACTACAGCTGGTGGAGCGCCAAATGCAAGCGGAAACATGTTGAGGTCGGCTCGTAAAAACTCGTTAACCGAAGTTAAGAATCTTTGGAAAGTAACTTGTTAACCGAAATCTCGTTAACCGAGGCCCTCTTTAACCGAGGGACCACTATATATATACAGTGACCCTTCCGTTAACGAACTCAATCCGTTCCAGAAGGTCGTTCGTTAACCGAAAAGTTCGTTAACCGAAACCATTGTTTCAATGGGTTTTTGGGTAATTGGTTCCAGCTCACCGAAAATTTCCTAAATTCAACAAAAATGGTAGAAAAGTTCACTTACTTTGAGGTGTGTATGTAGAAGGCTCCTGGATGATGATGATGATGGTGATGATAGGATTTAGAATGGGGGTGGAGGAGAAGGAAGAAGAGAAGGCATTGGGGTGGAAGAGAAGTCACCCCATGGCGCCATTTCACCCATAAAATTTTAGCTCTCTTGGTGTAATTCAAGATTATTTTCTTTAAATCAACACTGCACTGCATTATATATTGTCAATATGTAAAATCTATTTCAAAATGACCAATAATTTGCTTGGAAACAGAGAAAAAAAGCGTTTAGTTGAAGAGAGTCTCAAGCAAGATGTTACCTCCAGTGAAAACAGAGAGAAACTAACTCCTGTTTGCTGTGTTAAGAGGCTGGATGGCGTGCATTAAACTAGTCACTTTACCTTCAATTATGTTCAATAATTGTTAAAATGACTTAAGAAATTGAATATTAAACTTTTAAAATTATTGAATAGTATAAACTTCTTGATATTTACTAAAATAGTAAGGAATTTAAGCCCTAGAACCGATTAATGTATTGGCGGACTGATACTAAAGCTGGTTGCCCGGTCAGTGCAAGCGAAAACATGTTGAGGTCGGTTCGTAAGAACTTCGTTAACCGAATTTTTTTTCGTTAACCGAATTGAAGATCCTTATGGAAGGCAGTTCGTTAATCGAAATTACGTTAACCGAGGTGTTCGTTAAACGAGGGGTCACTGTATATATATATATATTCAAGAACTGAGCTACGTAGGTAAATAGTGCCATTACATATTTTATATAATTAATATTAAAAATTTGTGAATAGAAACTGTTGGTAATTCAAAGGGTTATGAACTGCACTTTTTACAAGATCTGGGCTGCTTAGCCTCGAACATGTAGAATACTGGAAAAAATTCTTTTCAAATTGTAATATAAATATAAATGTATAGGTACTAAGTTGAACTCAATCTTAATGTGTCAAGAATTTATTTTAAATTTTACACAATTTTATTAGTTTCAGAAATTAGATTAATTCTAAGTGTATTCTGTACTGAAACTAATGTTAAGAAAAATCACTAGTACTGGGGGCAGAAAACTGTAAATAATGCAGTTTATTGTTTTCATATTTTATGAAAGATAAAGTCTTGCACAAATATAAGCACAGTAGTTAAGTAAAGTTTATATAAAATATCTTTAAGAAGAGAAATTAATAACTACAGTACAGTATATTATGTTTAGGGTCTGTATGATTATCAATGATTATACAATACTGAAGAAACAGAATATTGCTGGTACAGTACAGTACCTTAATCTTTTTTACATATAATTTCCATACATTATGGATAGAGTTACTTGAGAATTTGTAGCTGTTCCATTTTTTATTTATTTAATTTTTTTTCAAATCGGTAATATTATTTTTATTTTCGTACATGCTGTTGTAGAATATTATTGCCATTTTCTGTTTAAAATTTTGTCATTACTGTATGTGACTAAATTATGTAGTAATTCCCCTCCCCTTTAAAAAAGAAAAAGAAAAGGTTCCTCTCCTAATGGGACTGGTATATTTAAGGAAATATTATTGCTATATAATTATGGCTTGCTCATATATTACTATATAATTACAGTATATTAGGAGTTCAGTGATCATCAGTTTTTAAGTTTAACAACAGAGAAAGCAGTTGGTGAACTTTTTACACATCTTTTTAGTGTTGATTGGCTCATTTCTGGTCCATGTGTAACTTTATCATCTCTCTGTATTTTCATTCTCATGATACTGTAAAGGCAGAAGGGAATTTAATCCGTGTAGTTATTTGATTCACTTAAACACTTAAAAGAAGGTTAATGATCAATATATATGGTGATTGACACACACATCTGTTTTAGTGTATACGGGAGTACTTAATGAACAGTACAGTACGAGTAAATAATGTGGAGCATCTCATTTTATAAAAGTAAATGAATTATTCTACATCAGGGGTTTTGGAAATGAACCTGGATGAATGCAAAAATTAGCAATTTTTTTAATAAAGATAATGCCAAAGTTTGATGATGGCGGATAAAATTTTCTCTATGGCACACTGCCGCCTTGTTTTAGGTATTGGTGATCACTAGAGTTGATCTTCAGAAACAAAATATCTACCTAGACAATAGAAGCCTCTTAAGGTGTACAAGGGCTGTAATATAGCAATTATGCAAAGTGCTCTGCTGTGTGCGATAGATATTTATATACATGGTATACCATAATTCATTTTCGATTAAGTATTTTGACCAATTGCTTAGTGAACTTTATTACAGTTATATATTAAATAAACTTTTGCCATATGTATACCATTTGCATCCTGTTGATCATCTTTTGAGATTCAGGAGGTCAATGAAAGACAGATGCTGTTTCATAAGTTCCAATACAAAAATAATCAAAGAAACATATACTCTACTGTAATATATACACAATTGTATATACGTACTATATATATATATATATATATATATATATATATATATATATATATATATATATATATATATATATATATATATATATATATATATATATATATATATATATATATATATATATATATATATTAATATGTGAAATGATTATCTTGATTTTTACTGCACAAAAACTTAATGTGTACAAGTTCTGAGTGAATATTACTTTGTTTAGTACTGTATACAAATAGCATCTAATTGTGTAGGATAATTTCATTACTTACATTCCAAAATACTTATCGCTGTAATAGATATCATGTTCAAGACTTAGCCTTTGATCTGAAAGCACAGTTTAAAAGTACTGTATATCTTCTCATATATGATTTACCATTTAAAAAAAATCCCATTTGAGGTGATCTAAGATATGTGGAAAAAGGAGTGTGTGATCCATCTAGTACAAGGGTTTGTTTCTATATGGATGAAAATACCTCACTGAATCTGTATATTTTCAATCCTTTATTTCTT